GGGGGAGGGCCATGGAAAAAAAAAAATTACCGGACCATTTTGCACCAGCCCTCCCCCCGGTAACTATCGTACAGTCCCTTATTTAAATGTAGTTTGGTATTTCCCGATTTGGCCATGTTCATCCTCACAACAAAAGAACTGACATCACCATTAATAAAGTGCTTTCACCATGGATGAAGTGCTTAATAGAAGGAGCAAATCGTGCGTATTTAAAGGATTTTCTTTTTTTTTCATTTTCATATTGTTTAGCGTTTCGCGTTTCGGTCATGGTACATGCTCATCCTCACAACAAAAGAACTGACGTCACCATTGTTAAAGTGCTTTCACCATGGATGAAGTGCTTAATAGTAGGAGCAAATCTTGCGTATTTAAAGGATTTTCTTTTTTTTCATTTTCATATTGTTTAGCGTTTCGCGATTCGGTCATGGTACATCCTCACAACAAAAGAGCAGACGTCACTATATGGATCAAGTGGTGAAAAAGAAGCTTATATAAGGCTTTTCACGTTTCGTGGACCGAATAAGTCTGTTATTGTACAGTACAGAAGTACGGAATGTCCGCTATATGAAGGTATTTACCAATACGTGAGGATCATACGTTCCACTGAGCGAAAAATGACACATGTCAGTGTAGACAGAGGTGAATCTAGTTTTAGGTGCGTCTTCGGTCCTTTTTGTGCATTACCTGTTGTGGCAATTATCTCTAGATAAGAAACCAAACTTGCGTTTAAAGGATTTTCTTCCCTTAATATTTGTTTAGAGTTTCGCGATTCGGTCATGGTACATGCTTATCCTCACAACAAAAGAGCAGACTATAGCTTAGGAAGCTTATAAGACTTTTCACGATTCGTGGATCGAATAAGTCTTTTATTACCTTCGCCAAGAAGGTTATGTTTCCAGTAGCATTTGTCCGTTTGTCTGTCTGTGAACAGCATAAATCAAGAAGCTTAATATGCATTGTCATGAAACTTGGTAGGTGGGTAGGTTTTGATGAGGCCTAGAAATGATTAGATTCTGGGCCCCCTGGCGGCTTTTGTTGGTACTGCAGCAGAACTTCCGGTTTAGATATCTCGTGATCTAGGCATGCTAGGGTCACGAATTTTGTGGTAGATAGCTCTTGGGCTAGGAAATAAATGACATGAGTTTTGGCCACCTAGCGCCTTGTTCTGGAACTGCAGGAGCGTTAGTTGAAAAATATTCAAAAGAGGATAACTCTAGAACCGGTTGACGGATAATTGTGATTTTTGGTATTTAGGCAGCTGAGGTGATGCTTGACATAATCAAATGACAAGTATGCAAATCAGGAGTTAACTTGCATGATTAATGAGGAAATTCTATAAATCTGCTTCGTTCGATGATAGGACTAAGAAACACTTGTGACATGTAATTGAGAACAAGACAAACATCTGAGGATAATAGATTATGTAAATGAAAACCTAATTTGCATAATTTATGGGAAAGTGATATAATTTCATAGTTGTAACTTCTGGGAATTTCATACTTGCCGCATTTGGAAGTTAAGTGAAGGTGAACATCAATAAACATAATTTATTCAAATCATGACCTCATTTGCATAATTTATGAGGAAGTGCTAGAATAGCCTTTTCTGCAAATGAGGCTCTGATTTGCAAAATAAGTGATTCAAATCGTATAATTCGTCAACCAGAAGGGTTAACATCATTTTACGAAGGTATGAGATAGCGGAACTCTTGTTTTAGTTGAAGTACAAAATGTCCGCTCTATGGAGGTATGCACAGTGCGTTTGCTGAGCACAGTCCCTTCGCTGAGAACAGTCCCTTCGCTGAGCACAGCGCCTTCGCTGAGCAGAGCCCCTTCGCTGAACATAGGACATTCGCTGAGCACAGGTCCTTCGCTGAGCACAGGACGTTCGCAGATCACAGCTCATTCACTGAGCACAGCGCCTTCGCTGTTGAATTTAGGTCATTCTCTGTTGAAATTAGTCCCTTCTCTGTTTAATTCAGTTCCTTTGTTGAGTACAACTATTGTCGTTTTGGTCCTTCGTACATAGACCCAGGCCTAGAGCCAGGTCAGAGCCTCGGAGAACGTGCTGTGATCTTTTTTTTTTTTTGGAAAACAGGCGATAATCAATGCGCGCGCGGATGTCATCCATAAAATTAAGACGGTGTGGCCTTAATGAAAAAAAGTTAGCAGAACTACAGCCAACCATTCGGGAGTAAGTCAGCAGTGTTATTGGCGTGTTTAGGGGTCCAATTTGACTCAAGGTTCACTCAAATTCGTTACGAGTCATATAGAAAGGTAGACTTGACCTAAATCTGGTCATGCTGCTCCCGAACGTCAGTCGAACCTGGGAACAAATTCGAGGAAAGAGCGCAAATGTGTGACAGGGGCTTGACAATTTTGAAAGTCCACGGAACACAACGAGCCCCTGGCATTGCGCCATGCGAGAAGCACAGGAACTGCAGCGGTCGATGCGGTGTTGCCAACGTTTGCTTTGAGCGGCTTTTGTGCGTTCAGAAAACTTTGACATATCACTCAATGGTCTTTCAGTGAGATTTCAACGATCTCCGAGGTCTTGCAATCATGGTGATCTTCCATTGATCTTCAAAGTCTTCCTTATGATGACCTCGAGGACCAATGACATTTGGTAACTTATCGGTTGCCCAACGGGCCGCATCTTTGAGCGTAAAAAGTCAACAAAACTATAAATGCTGCCAAGAAACTCATTTTTATTTCTTTTCTATTGTTCTCAGGCAGCATGGCGGGATCATCCCCGCGCAGGTTGGAGGCGCTCGCCCTGTGCTTCCTCGTGTTCCTGTTACCGGGCGTCTCCGGATGTGGAGGCAACCTGACGGCTCCCACTGGAGGCCCCGTCACGTCACCGAACTATCCCAGTAACTATGGCAACAACCAGGACTGCGAGTGGCTGATCAACGTCCCGGCAGGAAGCTTGATCCGTCTCACGTTTGACAGCTTCGACCTGGAAGAAGATTATGACTTTCTGCGCATCTACGATGGAGCCAGTGCAAGTGCGGCGCTGTTACAGGAGTAAGGCCCTAAACTGTATTATATTGATAAGAACTAGCTCGTATCAATGCTGCAGCTAGCAATATGTGAGGTCGTTTGGTGTAGAGGCACAGTGCTCGACTCGGAACCAAGAGTTCCCGGGTTCGAGTTCTGACATGCCACCGATCTTGTGCCCTTGGGAAAGGCACTTTACACGACTTTCCTCACTTAACTGACAGGTGAAAATGAGTATTGTCCTGTTCCGTATTTGTCCTCTATCTGCGTTGGTGAGGCCATAAAATAAGCTGATATAACTTGAGTGTGCCGTCACCATGTCTGGTCATGAAATGTTTGTACAAAAAGATAGTGATGACCAATCTATGGTGTATATAAATACATATCCCGAAACATCCTTATAAAAGCTTCGACTGTGTTGTGTGTTTTGAGACATAGATTGGCTCAATTGAGACATAGATTGGCTCAATTACTATTTATTCTTGGATCTCTAGGTTAACGGGTCCGCAGTCAGTCAGCCCTATCGCCAGCACATCTAACGTGATGTTCCTGAGGTTTACATCTGACGACATTGAAGCAAGACAGGGGTTCAATTCCTCCTACACAAGTTACACGTCTGGTAAGGAGTATATTTCTTTTCTGTTTTGTGGTCAGCATAAGTTAAGAAGGCTTTGGCAAGAGAAAGGTCAAAGTCGTTTGTGTCCCCTGGCGACGGTACGTTGTTCTTTCGGTTTTTTGCATCTTTTGCCTTGGACATGCTAGGTTTTCAATTTTACCTCTTTCAAACATGGGAGGTGTCGTTTGGGTCGCTGTATTTGTTGTCAGCATAACTTAAGAGGGCCTGACTGGATTGTGTTAGTAGTTGGTAATCAGGTAGGTTTTTTGAGTGTTGGGGGGGGGGGGCAATGGTCAAGATCAATTGTGGTGGCTGTTTTCGGTTCTGCAGCAGATTCGCAGTTTTTTTAATCGTTTATGCTGGACATGCAAGGGCTCGTTGTTTAGTGGCAAATAGATTTTTTATGTCTTGAGAAGTTGTAGATGGTTGTGCATTAAATGGCTGGGTATGGGCAGCAAAGATAGGGAGGCCAGTCGTCGGATTCCCCGGTAGCATTGTCGTGCGAGTGTATGAGACAATTGAAACAATCTGTGTTGGTAGTTTTTATGAAACAAGTTTGACACAAGGATTTGTACTCATACAAATTTTCGACTGTAAAACTTCAGTCTTTGTGAAGGAATGAGCAATTCACCGCTTCCGTGACGTCACGCAGATAACACACCTGACTCCGTGAGTAGTGGATTATAGGATGCAGAAAGTCCGTGGCGCCCCCCGTCTCTGTTAAGGGATTGTTTTTTTATTTTATTCACATGCATTTTTGAGCATTGGATAGGAAGCACTTGTTGTGCTTATGTAAATCCGCTGCTCATAAAACATAATACAAATGTAAACATAAAGATGAATAAAGTATAACATAAACATAAAATGAAAGTGGCTGGCGCACCAATACCTATAGCATAACATTAATGAGATTGGTCAAATCTTCCAGAGTAGTGGAAGTAAACACAATATCAAAGATACGGCAGTTAGTAGGGTATGGGAGGGAGGGGCTGCCTGTAAGAAGTAAAGTACATAATGTGGCGTCGTTTACGTTGAGTGGGTCAGAAGGAAGTATGTTTCAAGTTGAAGGCAAGGTATGGATAACAACATTTTGGTCCTTTAAGTCAGGGATGGTTGTAATACCTGATGTAGATGGCCTCTTAAATCCCACGTCCAAAAAAGTCCGATTCTGTGTCCAAGATTCTTACTTTATCAAATGAGACTGAATGTCCAGACGATTCAATGTGTATATGTTGTGAGACTTCCGAAGTAGTCGAGCTAGTTCTAAGAACCTATTAGTAGCCTTGAAGGATCTTTCAGTCTCTCCAATATATGTTTCCTTACTGGGCCTTTGGAGGTCTGTCCTTGACACTGTATCTTATAATGGTACACGACCTCACATTTACTTTCTTTTAGTGTTTTGTCCTTGGGAATATTCCGGAGGGTTCTAGTTGGTCTAAAACAGGTCTTGATACCGTGCGTGGTAAGCATTCTTCTGGACTGTGTTATTTGCGTAACGTCACGAAAGGCGGAAAGCCGTGGAATGCTCATTCCTTGAAAAATCACTGGAGTTGGGCGAGTCCAATTTCTTTTGTTGGAAATTGCAGTTCAAACTTGTTGAATAATGATGCAAATTAGTCAAAAGCACCTGTTGTTTCAGATCAGGAGCTTAAGTGTTGTCTGTTCTTGGTGCTGGTAGCTCCTGAGAGTTCTAATCTAGTGCTTATTTATATTAATCTGCATTTCTCCTCTGGTCTTTCAGTCACTGACGAAAGGTAGTGGGTGCTACACTGCTACCTGAAACCTCTTACTAGTTCCAAAATCATATCTAGTTGCTTGCCAATGAGTAACTGCTTTTAACGTATGCATGTATGTATGTATGTAAACTATGTAATTTATCACGATAAATCAAGAAGCTTTGCATTGATAGTCATGTACTTGGTAGGTGGGTACGTCTTGATGAGACCTCGAAACCATTAGATTTTGGACCTTCTAGCGGCTTGTTATGGTGCTGCAGATTGTTATGGAACTTCCGATTTTGTTATCTCGTGACTTGGACGTGCTAGGCCTAGGGTCATGCTAGCTACACAGTATTTCCCGCGGAGTTAAGGTTTAGTGGCCGAGGTACCCGCGTCTAAGTCTATAGGCGACGCCATGATTGTAGGCCGGGACTCATCACTATAGTGTCACGCAAATCATTTGCATGTTAGTTGCATTCGCACTCGTATGACTCAAATTGCACTTTTTAAGTGCTATTAACATAATTTCCCTGCTGAATTATCACACTAACAATACATCGTATTGATTACAAAGTAGTGAATTCTTGAAATCGCAGAGAGAAAGAGCCACCTCCTTTCAGTTAAACTTTAATAGTTGGTAATATATATGTAATATATATTTTTGCAGGTCAATGCTGGGACCCTGGTGTGCCAGCCAATGGGATCAGGGATAACAACAGTAACTTTACATCAGGACAGACAGTCAGGTACACCTGTATGGACGGGTATTGGCTGCTGTGGGGGACTGCCAACATAACCTGCCAGTCGAACGGGACTTGGAGTGGTGTTCCACCAACTTGTGGAGGTAATAAGTAAAGAATAAAAGTGTTGACGTTAGGGTTAGAACGTCCAGTTCACAGTATTATACGCGTATACCGGCAACTTTGATCGTCATGTTTAAAGTGACTTTGAGATGACCTATCCGCGTTAAATCTCTACTACTCGTAGCCGTCACTTTTGCGGTAAAGTTCGTCCCGCTAGAATCTCAGTGCAACATTTTTACGTTTCTGTGGACGTTAATCCAGTTAAACTGAAATATTACCGGTGAAAGTAGAGGATAACCTTCGAAAGAACATGTTAACAGAAGTTACGCACGAGCGCCCCCCTCCCCCACTTAACTATTCACGTTCGACGATATCTAAGGCCAATGTCGACTTGCGATCGTGAACTTTCCGGAACAACCGCCGAAATTTCGCTAAATGTTTAACCACAAGGATGTCTACCTGTTATTTTCACGTCCCTATACAGGTTTTGTACTAATGAAGTCAGTATATTACGTATTTTTTGATGCGAGCGTAGCTAGCGTATAACGTCAATAAATTCGGAAAATGAGCGGGGATTTGTCATTTCTACTTTCTACCGGCTGAAATTAAACCCAGGCCAAATGCGCACGACAACCTTATCTATTCTGTATCTGTATCTGTATCTGTATAGCCGGTATAACCGCCTTTCGGCGTAACACACCAGCTAAACACTTTTGTCGTGTGTCTGTACATACAGAGCATATGTCCGGCATGGTTCCCCCACAGGCATTCTAAGTACATTCGCTAGGAATCGAAGTTGACGCTGCCTTACCATGGTGATAAGGGGTCGAGTGTTGGTCAACTTGTAGATCCAGGCGTTGCTCACATGGTCTAGGCGTTTGATGTTAAGCACGACCCAATAGCATGATGTGGTGAACGCGTTTAGCTTATTTTCCATGTCATCCGATATGACCCAGGATTCACAGCCGTATAGCAGTATTGTCGCGCAGGTGTTGTTGAAAAGCTTGACTGTAAGGGGATGTGGAGATTGATGGAATTCTCCAGATCCTCTCCAGCTTCCAAAAAGCAGTCCATGCATGAGATTTCCTCTTATCATTGTTGCTAGAGGCCATCATGGATCCCAGATATTTGAAGTTGGCAAAATGTCTTATTGGCTTACAAACACAAACACACACACACACACACACACACACACACACACAAATACACAGACACAGACACACACGAACGCCGTTGAAAACATATCATTCATAGCGAAGGCAATTAGACAAGACAATAGAAGACGTGCATCTATAGAGGCATACTGGCCAGTGGCCGCTTTATACTGTTGCGTACTATTTTGTCCGTGACCTTGCAATGCCAACAATAATAGGCATAGTGTAACCAAAAATAAACGCTCTGATGCCACTGTAAATGTACTGCCACGCTTAATTTCAAGAGCGAACTTAAAACACCGCAAAAGTCTCTTAACAAATACTAACGCGTCCGAACAAAACTGAATTCGCAGTACTTCACCCTTCTCTCCTCTACTGCTTTTCAAACAAAGATATTGCGGTGCTTTTGCATTTGTAATATATTCGTTTCTCTGTTGTGCAGTATGAGCTAAAATTAGTCATTAAGGTAGAATACCGGGTGACTGTCCCCCAGACAGTTTTTTTTCATTTTATAGGAACAGGCCTTTGAAATGATTGTTTTATTTGGGTTTTCTGGCCATTTTTAGGCAAAAAAAAATTACATTTTGGGATCTGGAGCCCTGTAGTTAGTATTAAATCTGAATTAGCTGAAATTCGGTATGGGGATACCTTGGACACATGTTGAAAAAATGTATACGTATGTTATGTATGCAGATCAGGCCAATTTTATGGTAACTCATTAACCTGTCACCTCACTTATTTTGCTACTATCTGTCTGTGTCAGGATGCCCCACGGTTGTCCTATATGGCGGCTCCGACACTCTGCAGGCCGGTAGGATGACGTCCTACACCATGACGGGAGACACCCACGGTGACCGGCCCGTGTACTACGGCAGCGTCACCTGCCACTACCTGTATTACCACAAGCGTGCCATGGAGTGGTTCGTGGGACCGCAGTTCAACCGCAGGGGCGTACGTGTCCGGGACTCCGCCCTCTACGCTGACCAGATCAACGGGACGTTCCTTCTGTTAAACGTTAACGGCGGGGGGTGGGTAGAGAACCCGGATGTGAAGATCGCCTGCTCTGGTTAGTAGAATCTACCATATTATGATGACCACATGCAAATGGATCCGACAACTTATTTCCTACATTTACGTGTTAATATGTGAAATTTCCTCTTTTTTCATAGCATATATAACCATAAAACGATGAAATGGTAAGGCTATTCCAAAAATTGTCCTTCTACAATCAAAATTGTCCCCGTGCAACCAATCCAAATTTCTTTTTATTTTCAATCCTGGTTGCCCAGAACCTTTTTGCAACATTCCTTTAAATCTTACAATATTGGCTATATAAAGTCTGCATTTTTATTCCAGATGACGTCCCAGCTGGCGCGGTACTTCCACAATCGGTAGGGGGCGCTACAAACTGTACGAGGGTCCGTCTGCACGGCGGTGCCGACTACCAACCCTCCCTCATGACGACCTACACCAGAACAGACCAGACCAATGGGGGCAGACCTGTCTACGTTAGTGACACAAACAGCCAAAACTTTCTTCACTTTGTCGAAGACATCAAGCAATGGTGGGTGGGTCCCACGATCGGAGAACGCAGCGGCAACGCTTATGTCCAGAACTGCGCCATGACACCTGACCAGATCAGGTCACCGTGGATTCTGTTTGACGGGAATCAGCGGCAAGTCGTCAGGTCGGTTACTGCCAGCTGTGTCCGTAAGTACTTTACATTATATAAATAAATAAATAAATGAATGTAAACATTTGCCAAGGAGGTTATGTTTTCGGTATCGGTAGTGTGTATTCTTCCGTCTGTGTGTGTGCCTGTAAACACCACGATAACTCAAGAAGTCTTATATGGATTGACTTGATACTTGGCAGGTAGGTAATGAGTACAATTGTTATCCGTCACACCTAATCCCTTTAAATATTTCAGCAAAGTCTTCATATAACCTTCGCAACAAAATAAATCTAAATTGTCTGTTTCAACAAACCGTTTGCGAGAACTTTTGTTCCCTATTCTATACGTTACTGGAACAACTTAGACCTGGTAACACGTAGCTATAGCTTTTTTTATCTTTTGCATGTACCTGTTTGAAGCCGTGTGCCCCATCAAAGTAAAACATTTTAGTTACGGCCCCCGTTATGCCTCCGCCCTTTTAGCGCGTTTTCGCATCGGCATCTGCGGCTTGACTGCAAGTTTTTTTCAGGCCCGTTCGTATCAAGTCACTCAAAGTGGTTCAAGTGGCCCCATCTGACCGCTCCAAATCACATTGAAATCGACTCGATCCCAAACCACTTCGGGAGGTGGTTTCGAACCGGTTTCCCCGGATCGCGATTTACGTCTGAACGGAGGCCCTGTTCAGATGGAATCAGTGAAAGCGCTTTACACGTGGTTTCCCCCGAAACCGGTTTCAAGCGGCCTATCCGAACGTTCCAAATCACATTGAAAGCGCCTCGATCCCAAACCACTTCGGGAGGTGGTTTCGAACTGCTTTCGCGGATCACGAGTTGCGTATGAACGCGATGTGATTTCAATGTGACTTCACCTGGTCATTGGTTGCGGGGTGATATTTCTTCATTTATATGCAATACCAACTGAGCAGCATTGACCGAATGATGTGTCCATTCTAGGACGAGCTTCATGACCTCTGGCGGGACCACGGCGGTTTTCGGCCGAGATACGCTGGGAGGGGGGAAGCAGCAAGCAGGTCGTTGACCTCTGGCATTGATAACACGCTACCTTGCGTGTTTTCATAAAAAAACAGTGAATGTGCTATCATCAAAGTTTATCTGTGTTGGTAGTTACATGTTTAGAGTTAAAACTTTAGAGCCAACACACAAGCCACGTGACAAACCTCATTGGGTCAGTCTACTGAAGAAGACTGGTCAAAATCTCTAGGTGAGAGAATTTTTTTGTGTTGGATCTAAAGTTTTAACTCTAAACAAACAATGAATGTAGATTTGGCACATCGTGATCGGGCACGATTTGAAAGGAACGTGTGGCACGTGGACCAGATGTGAGGAATACGAGTTACCCGAATCGCGGTTCAGGCGGTTTAATGTGAACACGGCCTCAGTCGTAGGCTCATTGACAGCCCAGCTTGCAGCTGCGGGTGTCGATGCGAAAATATCTCCCACTTTTTACGTTTGCTCGGCCTAACGTTATAAGGTCGGAGGGATGTGTGGCCTGTTTTATGGTAGACCGGACCAAACAAAACAAGAGTTTCGAGATCTCATACCTGCATGAAGTATGGGCTTGCTTTGTCATACTTCATTTCAACGTGTCCTCATTAATTATGCAAATGACCGCTACATTAACATAATATATGTATAGTAGTGTTAACCTTTAAGTAACTTACACATGTCACGAGGTATAAATTTCCCATCATTCACCAATAAGGAGTCACAGAATTTTCACATTAATTATGCAACTTAGGCCATCATTTGCATAATTTGTATCTGTTGATGTTCCGCCTGCTACAGATTAAATAGATTACATGTATAAAAGAACTATTATATAAAACACTGTTACTATAGAATGTCCTCCTTAATTATGCAAATTAAGTCCTTATTTGCATAATTTAATTATGTACAACTCTCTATAAGCTACCTACACACCAAAAATGATGAAAATACGTTGTTCCTATCCGGACTTACTGACTTTTAAATATTTCGCCAGAAAGTCCCCTGCAGTTCCAGAACAAGCTGCTATAGGGGGACCAAACCCACACCACTTATTTCTGACAGGATAAGCTATCTGTCACCAAAAACTCAAGACCATAGCATGTTCAGGACAAAAGATACAAAAACCGGAAGTTCTGCTCCAGTACCAAGGTCATCCACCAGGAGGCCCATATTTGACCTTGACTTTTGTCTTCCTAAGACTTATCAGCATACCAAATATCATCACAATCCATAAAGGCGTTATGAAGTTATGCTGACTACAAAGTTGCGGAAACACACACAGACACACAAACAGTCACACACACACACAGGCAGACACGCAAGAAACAATAGCTCCAGAATATATATAGAGAGAGGTAGGCAGTCAGAGGCAGAGGATAAAGCATGCTTCTTACAACAACAGGTATCCGACTTGTTGGCGGAGCTAGCACCTCATTTCAAGGCAGAGTTGAGGTGTTCCATGACGGCCAATGGGGAACGGTCTGTGACGATGAATGGGAGCTAAGTGACGCCCGCGTGGTCTGTCGTCAGCTGGGATATCCCGGTGCAAAAGCAGCTCTTGGATCAGCAGCTTTCGGGCAGGGGACTGGGCCGATCTGGCTGGACAATGTAACCTGCGATGGTTCCGAGGCAACCATTTCTGACTGTGGACACAACGGTTGGGGGATACATTACTGTGGACACGGAAAAGATGCCGGAGTTGATTGTGAACAAGGTATGCCCGAAAACAATTCAAACTCTACTACTTGAGATTACGGAGAATGTTATGTTATGTTTAGTGTTAATGCATATGTGAACACGTACAGGTGCACTTGGAGTTAGGATAGAGTCATGTTACTGTCATCCGGTGCATGGTAGAATGGAATGTACTGTAAATCCTGAAATGTTCGTGGTGGTTTTATTTTCGCAGTTCCGTCGCTAGTTCGTCAGTCCTGTTTGCACCACATTTAACAGAGACCGATAACGTAACGCGGCAATCGCGCGGCGATAACGATGGCGCAACGCGGTAACGCAGCTTGAGTATTGACCCCAGGCCGCACGAATGCGTTAGAGCGTATCCTACTACCGAGTGCGCCATCGCGCGATTGACGCAACTACAACTAGAATTCCACGATCTCATACCTTCGCCAAGTGATGTTAGCTTTTATGACTTAGAAATTATATTTTGATCCCCCTGATTATGCAAATAGCATCCTAAATTGCATGAATTATATCTGTTAATCATATTTCATACCAAAAAACTTATCTTAACAAAGAATGCCATCATAGCATTTCCTTATAAATTATGCAAATGAGGTCCTTATTTGAAGAATTTATGCTTAATTATGCTCACCTTCACTTAACTTTCAAATGCCCCAAGTATGAAATTCCTGGCAGTTACCACTTTAAAATCATAACATTTCCTCATTAATTATGCAAATTAAGTCTTCATTTGTATAATCGATATCTGCCTGTGTTTCTATTGTTCTTAATTAATAACATATGTCAACTAAAGCTGAAACAAACATGTGACTAGCACTATCATATTTACTAAAGGCGAACAAAATTCTAAAAGCGTTGCTGTATGCGACACGTAGTTTATGAATTATACCCAGCGTGTATTCAGACCACAACTGAGCACAGTAAATTGGGGAACAATAAGCGTTGAACAATGTGTGCTTCACTTTAGCTGATGCAAACATGACTTTTCGGATCAAGGAGTTAGCTCTCGTATAAAAGCCTCTGATGTGAGAGCGAATGGACCCATCATCAGACAGATTGGGGGTTATATATATAAGGTTACCCAGGTAGTTAAAAGATGAAACAAGTTTGTACCGTAGAGTCGCACTGAAGGTGGCGCACGTGTCAACCGGAATTTAACGCGTGGAACTTTCTACTTTGTCCGATGATTAAAGATTAGAACAATACTGGCTGTTATGGCTTCCTATCAGCAGTCACAGACATGCATGAGCGGTGGAACTGGAAGGCAGGGATTACTAGTAACATGTAGGTAGCACTAGTAGAGCCTGAGTCTATAGTGGGGTTGCCAGGCATTTTGGCGGGATCGCCTCTGTGGTCAGCCGCCCGGTACTGCATTCTACCGATTGTAAAAATCTTCTTAGCAAAGGTTATTGACAGGCTGTGCTTGTTCATTAGAATTTTTCTCACTACTGACAGGATGTTTGGCAAGGTGATCACTCAACCGACTAAGCTAATACCTGTTCACAAAGGCGATGTTGCTGTTTCAAAGTTACTCCTGTCAGGAGTTCACTTTTCTGCACTATTCACAGAATGTGCCTGTCAATAGTAACTGCCAATCTAATTTGTGTGTTATTCAACACCACGGGACACGTTTTGCCGCCATGTCATACATGTACGCTGCACGATTGCTTGTACATGCAGACTAAGCTCGGTGGCAGTGAATGCACACCTTTTTTTGGTGTGCACGATTTTTTTTTCATTTCATTCGTTATGCAAATCGGATCAAACTTTACGTAATGAAAATCTGCCAATGTTCCTTTCCTCTTTATTACATATGTCACGAGTTTGAATTTTCCTATCAAGGAATGAGGCAGACCTTTAGAATTTCGTCATTAATTATGTAAATTAGATCCTCATTTGCATAATTGTCAGTATGTCAAGTATCAAACACAAACACACGCACACACACACATCATTATCATCATCGTCTGGCTGCCGCGGTGTCCTCGGTGTCCCCCAACAGGTTCCGGATGTACCCCAGGTAGTCGAGTCGCTGGCACCCTGGGTGCCTTTTGCCGTGCGTCGGTACATACAGGGCATATGTCCTGCATGGTTCCCCCACAGGCATTCTAAGTGCATGTCCCAGGAATCGAAGTTGACGCTGCTATACCATGGTGATAAGCTTAAGGGGTCGAGTGTTGGTCAACTTGTAGATCCAGGCGTTGCGCACATGGTCTAGGCGTTTGATGTTAAGCATGACCCTATAGCATGATGTGGTGCAATCATTCCGTCAAGACTTATCTTATTGACTGCTTCGATCTTGCATCAAAATGGCGATTGTCTACAGACTGTATTAAGCACAAGTGTAGGCAGTTGAAATAATAACCTTATTCGTTCTGAAATAGGTTGCCCAGGCGGGTACGTTTACCATCAGCCTAATCGCCTGTGCTACAAGGCCTTCAACGACACGGCAACCTACAACGGTGCAGTCAGTAGGTGTTCTTTAGACGGGGGAGTCCTTGCCATACCCCGCGACAACGCAACCAACAACTTCCTCATCGATCTGAAAAATGCCATCGACATCAACGGTTTCTTCCGTTTTGGACTGACTGATGTCCACCAGGAGGGACTTTGGATTTGGGACGATAACGTTCCTCTCGGCGACTTCAGAGCTTGGGGTCCAGGCGAACCCAACAACGCAGGTAACGAGGACTGTGCCGAGTACTTTTCCGAAAGCCATTCCTACAGTAACACATGGAACGATGGATCGTGTACTAGTGCCGACAAGTTCATCTGTCAAGTCTCTCTATCAGGTAAGCTTCAAAATATTGACGTTTGCGCTTTCCATCTTAGAACTTTTGACAGTTGCTTTACATTTTGAGTCCAGTCTGTTTTTGTTTCCACATATTTGTGGTCAACATGAGTTAAGAAGGCTTTGGTAAGACAGAGGTCAAAGTCGTTTGTGTCCCCTGGTGACGGTACTTTGTTCCTTCGGGATTTGCATCTTTTGCCCTGGACATGCTAGGTTTTCAATTTTTTTACCTCTTTGAAATATGGGCGGTGTTGTTTTGGGCCTGTTTTTGTTTGTGTGTGTGTGGGGGGGGGGGTCTGCAACCATTAGATTTTGGACCTTCTAGCGGCTTGTTATCGTGCGGCAGATTGTTATGGAATTTCCGATTTTGTTATCTCGTGACTTGGACGTGCTAGGCCTAGGGTCATGCTAGCTACACAGTATTTCCCGCGGAGTTAAGGTTTAGTGGCCGAGGTACCCACTTCTAAATCCATAGGCGACGCAATGATTGTAGGCCGGGACTCGTCACTATAGTGTCACGCATATCATTTGTATGTTACTTGCATTCGCACTCGTATGACTCAAATTGCACTTTTTAAGTGCTATCGAGATAATTTCCCTGCTGCATTATCACACTAACAATACATCATATTAATTACAAAGTAGTGAATTCTTGAAATCGCAGAAAGAAAGAGCCACCTCCTTTCAGTTAAACTTTCATAGTTTGTAATATATATGTAATATATTTTTTGCAGGTCAATGCTGGGACCCTGGTGTGCCAGCCAATGGGATCAGGGATAACAACAGTAACTTTACATCGGGACAGACAGTAAGGTACACCTGTATGGACGGGTATTGGCTGCTGTGGGGGACTGCCAATATAACCTGCCAGTCGAACGGGACTTGGAGTGGTGTTCCACCAACTTGTGGAGGTAATAAGTAAAGAGTAAAAGTGTTGTCGTTAGGGTTAGAACGTCCGGTTTACGGTATTATACACGTAAACCGGTAACTTTGATCGTCATGTTTAAAGTGACTTTTTGATGACTTTTTCGCGTTAAATCTCTACTACTCGTAGCCGTCACTTTTGCGGTAAAGTTCGTCCCGCTAGAATCTCAGTGCAACATTTGTACGTTTCTGTGGACGTTAATCCAGTTAAACTGAAATATTACCGGAGAAAGTAGAGGATAATCTTCGAAAGAACAGAAGTTACGCACGAACGCCCCCCTCCCCCACTTGACGATCCACGTTCGACGATATCTAAGGCCAATGTCCGCTTGTGATCGTAAAATTTCCGGACCAACCGCCAAAATTTCGCTAAATGTTTAACCACAAGGATGTCTACCTGTTATTTACACGTCCCTATACAGGTTTTGTACAGATAATGTCAGTATATTACGTATTTTTTTCATGCGAGCGTAGCTAACGTATAACGTACATATAGTAAAAATGAGTTCGGTCAAGGAATTCGGAAAATGAGCGGGGATTTGTCATTTCTACCGGCTGAAATTAAGCCCAGGCCAAATTCTCACGACAACCTTATCTATTCGTAACACTTTTGTCGGGTGTCTGTACATACAGGGCATATGTCCGGCATGGTTCCCCCAAAGGCATTCTAAGTACATGCCCCAGGAATCGAAGTTGACGCTGCTATACCATGGTGATAAGCTAAGGGGTCGAGTGTTGGTCAACTTGTAGATCTAGGCGTTGCTCACATGGTCTAGGGGTTTGATGTTAAGCATGACCCTATAGCATGATGTGGCGAACGCGTTTAGATTATTTTCCATGTCCCCTGATATGCCCCAGGATTCACAGCCATATAACAGTATTGTCACGCAGGTGGTGTTGAAAAGCTTGAGTTTAGTGGATGTGGAGATTGATGGACTTCTCCAGATCTTTTCCGGCTTCCAAAAAGCAGTCCATGCAAGTGATTTCCTCTTATTATTGTTGTTAGAGGCCATCTCGGACCCCAGATATTTGAAGTTGGCAACATGTCTTATTGGCTTACAAACACAAACACACACACACACACATGTTACACACACACACACACACACACACACACACATACACACACAAACAAACACAAACACACACACACACACACACACACACACGTTACACACATACGTTACACACACACACACACACAGATACACACACACAAACACACACACACACACACACGCACAAACACACAAGCACACACAAACGAACGCCATTGAAAACATAACATTCATAGCGAAGGTAATTAGGAGAAGACGTGCATCTATAGAGGCATACTGGCCAGTGGCCGCTACACAGTTGTGTACTATTTGGTGTGACCTTGCCATTGTTAATTTCAACCGTGAACTTAGAACACCACAAAAATCTACTTAAAACAGCTAATTAACCCTAAAACAGTACACCTGGGGTCCGCGCGGACCCCAGCACTATATATTCTGTAATATATTTTTTGTTTCTAAAGATTTTTTCTGAAATTTTAGGTAATTGTCACCCACAAAGTTGTCTCTCAATACAGTGCAGAAAATTCCGTTTCTACCATTTATAAAAAAATTATATCTGATTTTCTTTTGGGGTCCGCGCGGACCCCAGCCGCCTTTCGATCATAATGGATACACTGGCGTTCTTATACATTACCTTATTTCCGTTTTTATATGTGTTTATGCACTCATCGTATGTCTACCAAGTTTTCAGAGAATGGTGTAGTAATAGAATTAAATTCTAATGACTTTGGTGTAATTATGACCAGAGCTAATAATATAGTCCGCCATATTGGATTTTGACCAATGACGTCATCAAATTAGCATATTCTATGCATATTAAATGATTTAACTTATATTTAATTATGTAAGATGTTATTAATGTTGGAAAAGAAGTGTAATTTAATATAAAACTCAGAAAATTTTTATGTTTAAACCAAAATTACTTCTATTTTCAAATAAACTGCCAGCTAGAAACCCATTGCCATGGCAACACAAAAAAACATCAACTTACTAGTATAAAACTAATATGAACTTTTTTCCAGAGACATTTTAGGAAAGGTCTCCAAATTTGATACTTCTAGCGCAAGCCGTTTAGCTGCTATCTGAGATCAAAGTTGGGCCTCAAAAGCCCCTTCAGTCTGAAATGGGTTAAAAAATCGGGTATTTCTTCTTGTCTTCTTTTCTTCACCAAAGAATAGAAAAAGTTCAAAATGTATGATTTTTGTATGTAATGTGGACACAGAGGTTCCCACATCAGTTTTTAAAACAATTGAGCTGGTAGCATGTTGATAATTTCTAAAAATTAGCAAAAAACTGCTCTGGGGTCCGCGCGGACCCCAGGTGTACAGATTAATCAGTCCGGGAAGTTGTTCTGTTGAGGGTTAAAATACTTAATAACGCGAACAAAACTGAATTTGCAGTATTTCACCCTTCTTTGCTCTATTGCTTTTCAAACAAAGATAGTGCGGTGCTTTTGCATTTGTAATATATTCGTTTCTGTGTTGTGCAGTATGAGCTAAAATTTGTCATGAAGGTAGAATACCCCTCGGTTGGGTTAAGGCAGCCTATGGCATACTATGAGTAGTATTTCATACATATGCCTGTAACTTTTGATAGCTTGGTCGCACCACAACTAAACTTCACACAGTTCTAGTAGTACTCGAAACACATTGAATAAAGGTTATTTTGTTTTTACTACTTCTCGATTTTTGGGTTAGAAATCAGCATTTTGGTTAAAAAAAAACTGTTTACTTCATGGCTTAACGCGCAAGCGGTAACAACACCTTTCATCATGATATTTTGCAAGTAGAAAGCCAACCACCTATTTATTATTTTTGTCTAAGGCTATTTTGTTTTAAATGACAGTTACATTGTTTTTTGGGGCCAAAAACGACAGAAACAGCCATTTTTCTGTCATTTTTGGTTAAAAAATCGCCACAGTTAAACAATATCGACTTATATGCAAAATAGCCTCGGACAATTTTGATAAAAAGTGATAATACATAAACATGGATTACTCTAAAGATCAATTATGCTGTTTTGAGCTGCGCGTAAAGCCGTTTTAGTCATACTCCGTGAATAAAATGCGTAACAACGCGGGTTTACAGGGGAAACATACAAATGACCGCCGGTTACCCCGAATTCGAACACGCGTTCTATTCAAATGACGTCATATCGAACATGGTGGAACAAGATTCGGGTTCAAAACATGTCTGTGGCCATCATGCAGACGCACGCCCGAACTCGAACATGAATATCAGCCTAGGCCGCTTTAACCCAACCGAGCCCCAGGCAGTTTTTTCATTTTATAGAAACAGGCCTTTGAAACAATTGTTTTATTTGAGTTTTCTGGCCATTTTCAGCCAAAAAAAATACATTTTGGGATCTGGAGTCCTGTAGCTAGTATTAAATCGGAATGAGATCAAATTCGGTATGGGGATACCTTGGACACATTACCAAAAATGTATACGTATAAATGCAGATCAGGCCAATTTTATGGTGACTCATTAACCTGTCACTTCACTCATTTTACTACTATCTGTCTGTGTCAGGATGCCCCACGGTTGTCCTATATGGCGGCTCCGACACTGTGCAGGCCGGTAGAATGACGTCCTACACCATGACGGGAGACACCCACGGTGACCGGCCCGTGTACTACAGCAGCGTCAAATGCGATTACCTGTATTACAACAAGCCTACCATAGAGTGGCGCGTGGGACCGCAGTTCAACAGCAGTGGCGTACGTGTCCGGGACTCCGCCCTCTACGCTGACCAGATCAACGGGACGTTCCGTCTGTATATCCGCAAGGAGTGGATAGAGAACCTGGGTGTGAAGATCGCCTGCTCTGGTTAGTAGAATCTACCATATTTTGATGAACACATGCAAATGGATCCGACAACGCCTGATCCCCAACATTTATGTGCTAATATGTAAAAGTGAGCTTGTTTTTATAAGATAGAGAAACATGAAAGGACGATATAACCGTAAGATATCAATTTATTTTCATTTTTAATCCTGGTTGCCTAGAATATATGTTTAATATTCTGAATACCTTATAAGCACATAGGTTATACATATAAGTTTGATCTTTTCTGTATACTATGTAACACTATCCTATCATTGTTAAGTTATATCAATGTAATTGTTGTAAATTTTAAAATAAAATCTGTATTAGTTAGTGCATAAGCGATGTTATGTATATGCTGAGCAATACATTCTTATTTGTGTATACACGAGTAATTGTAAAAGCTGCTTAATTAAAAAAAGCGTCCGACCAAAAGCTTTCAATTTGCTGTATTATGTATGTTATTGCAAGAACAAACCAGTCATATATAGAACCTTTTTGCAACATTCCGTTTAAGCTTACAATCGCGGCCATATAGTCTGCATTTCTATCCTTATTCGTTTCAGATGACGTCCCAGCTGGCGTGGCAGTTTCACAATCGGTAGGGGGCGCTACAAACTGTGCGAGGGTCCGTCTGCACGGCGGTGCCGACTACCGACATCCCAGCCTGACGACCTACACCAGAACAGACCAGACCAGTGGGGACAGACCTGTCTACGTCAGTGACACAAACAGCCAAAACTTTCTTCATTTTGTCGAAGACCAATGGTGGGTGGGTCCCACGATCGGAAAACGCAGCGGCGCCTTCGCTTATGTCCCGAACTGCGCCATGACACCTGACCAGATCAGGTCACCGTGGTTACTGAGGTACGGGGATCAGTTGCAAGTCATCTGGTCGGTTACTGCCAGCTGTATCGGTAAGTATCATGTATCATACATTCGCCATTAAGGTTATCTTACACACACACACACACACACACGCGCGCGCGCGCGCGTGTGTGTGTGTGTGTGTGTGTGTGTGTGTGTTCGTCCACCTGTGTCAACAATAACTCCAGAAGGCTTACATGGATTGCCTTGATATTTGGTAGGTAGGTTATGAGTATATGCATGACTTTTCGGTTCTGATATCTCTTGATCTGGACATGCCAGGGTCACGAATTTCGTTGTCTTCTGAAAAAAAATCGTTCAAGCTCGGTCCTAGGCCTCTTAGCAGCATTTTCTAGAACTGCAAGGAAGAACTGGTTTTCTCTCATAGTAATTCTACAATTCCCTACCTAAAGGTACTATATATCTTGTGTTATCTTTACAATTAGCCTGCCCAGAATTACCGCTTCCACCCAACGGCAACAGAACAGAAGGTCATTTTCACGGAGACACAGTCACCTTTTCCTGTAATGAAGGCTACGAACTGATCGGTTCTGAAAACAGAACTTGCCAGACCAACCAGAGCTGGTCCAGTGCACAGCCTATTTGCTCCAGTAGGTGGCAGCTTTTAACATTATTGTATTGTAATTGTGTATTGGAATTGATAATCAAAAAGCAGTTACTCAAGCAAATGGATATGATTTTGGAAATGGTCAGACGTCAAGACAAGGATGATGTCTTGAAAAGGGAACAAATTTTTTTCTCCTAGAGCCACTGAAGAAAGGTATACCTGAAACGTCTGACCGTTTCCAAAATCATATCCAGTTGCTTGATTAACTGCTTTTTGGCGTATCTTATTACCTGGATGTCTAACCTTCACCGAAATTGATAGTCAGTTTGCAATATACTAGTACAGTACAATACGTTGTAACTATGTCCCTGCTCCTGATTAGTAATGATGCAATGATGGTGACAAAAATATCTGCAAGTACCCTGTCATGAAAATCAATTTACACATTCTAGTAGCAATTTGTTGGTATCATCATTGTACAATGAAATATGTTCATTGCCCTGACGCCTGTGTTACAGGAAAAGTCTACCAACAACTGATGGCACCTTCTAACGGCAACATCAGCGGCAGTAGTTCTCATGGGGACGTCGTTACGTATCACTGTGACGCTGGATACGAGATCAGCGGCGATGAAGAACAAACTTGCCAGTCGGACCAGACCTGGAGCGGCACTCAGCCTACATGCGCCCGTGGGTTGTTTCTTTGGTTCACACGATTATGTTTCGTTGAGTTTTCATATTTTCCCAATTAAAGTAGTTCAGTCATTTCTGTTTCGTTTGGTGTGCTTAGTTGATGCCTTTGTAGCCTCTGCAGCATAGTGACTGCAAGTAGCCATTTTTAACTAAAACTACCTTGCATCCTACGCCTTCTCTTAGGAAAACCCTGCCCAGAGCTATCGCATCCAACCAACGGCAACAGGACAGAAGGTCATCTTTACGGAGACACAGTCACCTTTTCCTGTAATGAAGGCTACGAACTGATCGGTTCTGAAAACAGAACTTGCCAGACCAACCAGAGCTGGTCCGGCGTGCAGCCCATTTGCTCCAGTAGGTGACACCTTTTGATATTGTGATATTGTAATGGGGTTGATGATTAGTTTGGAATATACATTACGATACGTTTCAACTATGTCTTGCTCCTTCTTTAGATATCGCAATGCTGGAGCCAAACATATTTAAAATCTACTTGCTATCATCATTGTCCAATAAAAAAAAGTTAATTGCCCTGACGCCGTTTTAACTGTGTTACAGAAAAACTCTGCCAGCCACTGATGGCACCTTCTAATGGCAACTTCTACGGCGGTAGTTCTTATCAGGACGTCGTTACGTATCACTGTGACGCTGGATACGAGATCAGCGGCGATGAAAAACGAACGTGCCAGTCGGACCAGACCTGGAGCGGCGCTCAGCCAACATGCGTCCGTGGGTGGTCTATTTTAAGTTGTTTTCCATGAAACTATCGTCTAGTTTTTAGATTTTTCCAAAGTGAAGTTCCAATATTTCTTGATAGACTGTGACGTATTTAAATGGTATCTTGGAGCCTTTCTAACATAGAAATAACGCGTATTTTTCTCTGTCACTTAAAGCACTAATGTACAAATCACATGTCACGTACACAAACCCCTTTTAACCCTCCGACACAACTAAGGCTTGAAGGTAATTAGTGGCGGGACATCTCCCTATACATTTTAAGCTAGGCTCTCAATCTCTGACTCTCTGACTGAGTTGGTATTCAGAGAAGCCACTTGGCTGGGTCACTGGGTCAGAAGCCAGCCAGAGTGACTGGTCGAAAGCTCAAGGTGAGAACATTTCTTTGTGTTGGAACAAAATGTTTTAACTTTATACACATCAATATACACATTTATGTAATCCCAGTATCTTATTCATCTGAAACAGCGGGACTGTCCACCGTACACGTGGTGATGATTGCCGTGGTGCCATCTGTGGCACTACTGGGAGTAGTAGCGGGGATTCTGGGATACCGGCGCGGCAGAAAGCGACAAAGTGACGACAATGAATTAAAACAGTTTGACTTTAATCCAGATATTCTAGGTATATGATATCATGACATACTTGCAGTTTTTCCATTCTGTTATTCGGTACCAATGCGAAAAAACTATTGAGTAAATAGTCATGCTACATGTATGTATTACAAACAGGAAGCACGTATAAATCAATTAATTAGAAGTTGCGTTGCTAAAAGCTTAACTGACGTCACCTATTCTGTATTTCATTGACCCAAATGCATATGTTTTGTATTGTATTCAATAAGACAGAAAAGTGGGTATATTGATGATGTATGCTGTTGTATTACACTGTGAGCCCTATTGAAGACACTCATAACGTTGTTTCACTGCTTTTGTTCCCAGATGTAAAATTAACAAATTTGGACAAACCACCACCCCCACCTCCCCCGTCTGTGCCGGCTCGGCCACAGTTCCTGGAGTACGAGGTAAACCCGACTGATCTGCGACTGAATGGAGAGATCGGCAGAGGGGCCTTCGGTATCGCTTTCCTCGCGACTTTAATGAGAGCTGTTGATGGTCTTCTCACGGAACAAACAGTGGTGGCCAAAACCGTCCGTGGTAAGTCAACGTCAGCTGGTTATTAAGATACTACATCTTCACTAACGCCAGGAGCTTCGTTGATTTATTTTGCCACACGTATTTAATGGCTGAAAGCATGGCACACAGCACTTAAGCAGAGTAAGTTAGCCTTTGGTATGATCTGGCCCAAATGTAAAACAAGCACTCTACACCGAGCAATTGCACCGGTGAAGCTTCAACAATGACAGGTTTTTGTTAAATTTGCAGAGAACGCGAGAGAAGAGGAGATACAGAATTTTATACAAGAGGTCGACACCACCATCACCCTGAGGGGCCACATCAACCTGATCGGTCTTGTGGGCTGCTGCACAATGTCCCACCCTCCCTACCTGGTGACGGAGTACATGCCGTATGGAGACCTCAAGAACTTCCTACTGAAGTGCAGGAAGGTACATCTATACGTAACTTTAATGTAGATATCTTTAAATGCGTTCTTATTCTACCAGTAATGGTTAAACTACCAAAAAGCTGCTGTCTCTATTTTGTTTGATGAATAATCATAATGATGTGTAACTGAAGTTTTAAAAAAAAACTACTTGTAAAGTTATATGCCAAAGTTGTTGTTATCAGCCACCCATTTCAACATTACAACGTATGTGTATGGCTCGATAGATCTAGAAACTGATGGCTTATTTTACTTAATGTATTTCATTGTTTTGCTTGCTATGCAGCCCTTAAGCATGGATTTGCGATTTCGCAGTTACCAAAAGCTTGTATCTGAAAATTAAATGTCTCTTTTTTGGTAGGTGTGGTATGTCAGCCATTATAATACTTTATGATGAAGCCAACTTATGTTCATGCTGACTCTTTTCATGTAAATCTACAGTTGAATGAGAGGCTCCAAGACAGCATGTATGACTTCGACGAGATGAAGATCTACCAGGTAGCACGGCAGATAGCAAACGGAATGGTAAGCAGACAGTCCACACACAACACAATCACTGAGAACACACGCATGTATACTGTATTTATATGACACAGCCTTAAATGCTCTGAATTCTATCATGAACTGCAAAAGTACATTCTCACCCCATACTACACAGGGAAGATTAGTCTCATTGTTTGTTAGCAGTAGATGCCAATTACCTTGTACAATTGTTGTGCGATGGTGTTTAGATGTTTACTGAGGAAGACCAGCGTGACTGGTCGAAAGCTCTAGTTGAGATAATTTCTTTGTGTTGCAATTGGATCAAGTTTTCACTTTAAACATGAAAGTATCATAGATGAACTTTCATTTTTATTTGTTTATTGACCACGTTCATACATGTACATCCATTTCACATATGACGTTTGCACTTTTTGAAATGTATGTTTTCTGCATTTCTCTCTCCAAACAGACTTACATTTCCCAGGCTGGTTACGTGCACGGTGATCTGGCCGCCCGGAACGTGCTGGTAGGAGAGGACCTGGTGGTGAAGATCGCAGACTTCGGCCTGACAACAGACATTTACGAGCAAGGCTACCAGCGGCAGGCCGCGGAGCAGAAGATCCCGGTGAGGTGGATGGCGCCGGAAAGGCTAATGCGAGAGGGCCGGTACACCAGCAAGAGTGACGTGTGAGTAGTTATTGCTTTGGTTTTGTCCTAGATTTAGGTTCGTATACTAACTATAGTCTGGCAAAAACAAACTTGAAAGCATGCGCAAGCTGGTGTCTAATCTGAGGTTGTCGATGTAGTTAGTCTCCCCCGGCTTCTTTGACCTTTTGTAGGCTCCCAAAGGACAAGCTTGGATGCTACAATGTGAGGATGTCTGATGCAGTGTGCAGCTAGCTTCATTTTGCGTGTTTTGATTTTCTCTGTAATTAAGGGCAAATCATGATATGGTCCGTCTTTTTTGCATAATTCATGATCAAATCTAATTCTCACGCCCAGTTGGTCCTTCGGTGTGGTGCTGTACGAGATTGCTACGCTCGGGAATGTGCCCTATCCAGGTCTGGAACGCACGCTCCTGGAGGAACTCCGCACAGGGTACCGCGAACCACGCCCGCCTGGCCTCAAACAAGAGCTGTACGTGAATGAGAATATTGCTTTTTTTAAATTTCATTTACATTTGTTTCTTGAGAATCATTCAAAAGCAGCATGGTGGTTTCTAGAGGCCCTCCTCACAAATAAGAGTAAAATCAACAAAAATAACGGTGACAATAATGAGTTGTAAAATAAAAACACTGGTAAAACATAAAGCTCGTGTACAGAAACTACAAGTTAAATAAAATTTAGCAGTGTACTGAGTGATTATGAATAGTTACTCTTTTTCATGCAAAATGGTAGGGACAACAACCCTGTGCATTTGGTCCTACATAGACTTAGTTCCTCCCGTTCGAAGCACATTAAGCAGCAAGTTCATTCCACTCTGTTCGATCTTTGGCCAGATTGTCATCATCCGCTAGTTTCTATGGTCTGCTCCATTTAAAGTCTTGTAACATTGCAAAAAAAATCACCGATGACTTACACATATAAATAACCAATAGGTACGACATGATGCTGCGGTGCTGGCAATGGGAGGAAGATGATCGCCCGGAGTTTGAGGAGCTTTACGATGAGCTGGACGCTGTGGTAGAAGTGATGGCCAAGGATTACGTCAAACTCGGTTCCGGCTCCCCAGTGGGGGGTCAGAATGAGGCAGCAGAAGCTCTTGAAACCTCGTACGACGTCCCTAAGTCGGGCCGGATGGGGATGCAACTCCGCGTCACTGCAGAGGTCTACAACATCAAAGATCGTGATGAGGTCGACTCATTTGGGTCCACAAATGCATAATCTAGTTCCGCGCCAATAGAGAAGGATGTGGACACTGATAATGATACCCATACTGCAGTTATTTTTATGAACTAATGTAGATATTTCTTTCTGTATTTTATCCAAGAGTTTTGTCTTCAAATGGGACTTCTAGGCTGTTGGATCTTTCTGTAGATGTTTGGTCCCCTTTTATTACAGAATCTTAATTTGCATAATTTGGTGTTTTCTTTTCCAGTAGTTTAAGGTAAGATGCCACGGAGCCGTGTAAGAATAGATTATAGACTGTGCATACAAGTAGTCCACGTGTATTAAGGATAGTTCTTCTCTTTGCCGAGCTATCGGGTATATCGCAAGGATATAGACACCTTTAATATGCATTTACTACAGTTTCTACATCAAGTTGATGTGTATAAAACCCTTACCCGACAAAAGTACTAATAGTACCCTCCCCACCAGGCCTCACTGCAAATTTGTGTGGAGTACCAAGTCTAAAGAGAAATTTCTGAATATAATAAGTAGTGACGATTTCTCTACCAGCATAAACAAGTTTATAAAAAAGAACTACGGCCTCACATCAGCCTCAGTTGACTCAGCACTAAATGACTTCCTTACACCACTGCAAGAGGCTGGTAAAATGTCTTTACGCCTGCGCTTTACCAAAAAAGGAGGCCCAAGTAAAAACAAATCGAAAGCAAAGAAGAAATGGTTTTCGAAAACTTGCCAAACTGCTAGGCGAAACCTTAGTCAGCTAGGCAAGCTACTGTCCAAACATCCCAGAGATCCTTTTATTAGAGGACAATATTTCAAATATAAAAAAGAATATACAAGAATAATTCGAAAAACTAAACTAGATTACAAAAATAACATTCTTCAACAACTCAACTCTTTTTCTGACGACAACCCATCCGCATTCTGGCAACTTTTTAAAGACTTCAAAACAAATAATACGACACCTGAAGAAGTAATTAATAAAGAAGCTATCCATAATCACTTCGAAAAACTGTACGGAAGAGACAAACAAGCTACAACTACACCTAACACCGACTTTCACACGGATATTGAAAACAAATTGACGGAACTAGAAAATGATCTGGCGATTCTCTAATTTCTAAGTATACTAATAATAACAAACGTCTTTATGCCTGTTTCGTCGACTTTAAAAAAGCCTTCGATTGTGTATGGCGCGAAGGTCTGCGATACAAACTACTCACCTCGGGAGTAGGCGGCAAATTTTACAGTCTTATAAAATCAATGTATTCTAACCCACAAACATGCATCAAAACCTCCTCTGGTCTAACACCACCCTTCGTCACGGACAAAGGTGTGAGGCAGGGCTGTAACCTCAGTCCGACCCTATTCAACCTGTTCATAAATGATTTAGTCAAGATTTTAGATAGTCCAGAATGCGTGCCACCTTCCCTACATAATTTATTCATTTCCTGCTTGCTCTATGCAGATGATGTCGTAATTTTCTCGGAAACCGAGAAAGGACTCCAATGTGCCCTTGACAAACTAAACACTTTCTGTACAAATTGGAAACTCCAGGTTAACCTGAAAAAGACCAAAATTGTACTTTTTAACAAAACAGGGCGCATATACAGAAATACAAAATTCCTGCTCGGCTCAGAAAATATAGAAATTACTACGTCGTACTGCTATCTAGGTCTGTTGTTGTCCTCATCTGGCAGTTTCTCACTAGCTAAGAAACAACTTGCTTTAAAAGGTCGCAAAGCTGTTTTTAGCATCAAATCTCTTATCCGCTCTCAAATCTCATTAAAAGCTTTACTAAGGATCTTCGACGTGTGCATCAAATCAATAATGTTATATGGTTGTGAAATCTGGGGAAAAGATTTTTCAAATGACAACTGTCCTATTGAAACTGTCCATAATCGCTTCTGTAAAAACATTCTTGGGGTACACAGAAACGCTAGCAACGGAGCATGCAAAGCAGAGCTCGGTAGACTGTCACTAGACACAGCCGTATCGGTACGCCTAGTCAAGTATTGGTTAAGACTGAGGCAACTAGACGCTAATACACATCCCCTACAAGTCGACGCTTTACTATCTCAAAAACATATGTTAAAAATGTGCTACACCATGTGAAAGAAATACTTGACCACAGTGGTTTCTCATATATCTGGCATAACGACAACGTAGATCTCGATAAGCAACACATATGTACATTACTTAGAAGTAGACTCTCTGACATGTATATCCAAACCTTTCTTCACAATCTCTCTGTTGATGTCGGTAAGCTAAGATTTTATAGACATCTGAAACCTGTATACACAATGGAACGTTATCTTCACATCAAAGACTTCGATGTTAGATCTGCCATATGTAAGCTTAGAGTTAGCGCTCATACATTAGAAATAGAAAAGGGTAGATACAAACAATTGCCTGTTAACGACAGAATATGTAAATATTGTACAGGAAACGCAGTGGAGGATGAAATGCACTTTATTTGTCACTGCCCTCATTATAGCACCGAAAGAGATCAGTTATTTGAAATGGTCACCAAAATGTTCCCCAGCTTTATTCACCTTCCCAGCCTACAAAAAACTGCATTTCTATTAACACCTCCCAATTCATATATATCGCAAAATGTCGGCCATTTCATACTCCACTGCACACGGAAAAGAAGTCAAACCCAACAATAATTACAAATGTATAGCATTAGCATCACTTATTATCATTCTACTGTTCACTGTTGTTATTATGTTCTTGCAATTAGCCCTCGGGCATGAATTTGCAATAAACTTTCTATTATGATATTGTATATTAAGTTAGATCCTGTTATGCTGAGGTCACATTTCCAAACCGGGGCCCGGCCGGGAACGAAAAGTACGATATAAAAGTCAACAAAACACAGAAACGTTTGCGATTATAACCATTGGCACTATATCTATATACTCTTGATATAAATTGTTAATTTTTCGTTCATACAGACAGCCCGGCCGGGCCTCGCTTTGGAAATGTGACCTAAGCATTACTAACGCCAAGAACGATACTATATATAAACGGTTATCTGCAAGATTAAGATTTCATAATATTTTTTTTTATTTGAGTAAGTTGCAGATCTTACAGTATCTGAGTGCAGTGTCCATTCTGGGTATGTGTATCTGTACGGCCGGTATTACCGCCCCTCGGTGTATATATAACACACAACTTCGCAGGCATGCGGCGTGGTGGCAGCTACACCGAATGGCTCGTTACATCTATCTTACTCTAAACATTGTTTTAAGCTAACAGTCTAGTGATGCTGCCCCTACTGTACTTGGTTACAGTATTAGAACCTTAAAAACTTTGCTTGAGACAACACATTCTAGAAATGCCATAGAACGGCTGTTCTACAAGAGGCACTGTTTTGTTTATCGTATTTACCAGCGTTATTAGATCTAAATAGAGATACTAGTAGTAGGTTAAATAAGTATATCGTATAGGTAAAACTTCATGTTAGCAGACAGTTTTATATCACCACATTCTGTACTCATTGTTGTCGTCAATGTGTGTTTGCAATTAGCCGTCGTGCATGAACTTGCACTAAAGAACTCTATATACATGTCGTACATGTTTACATAGATGAGACCACACTTACATGTATATCTTAGCCTTGATCATGATAAGCAAACCAACTCTAATGCAATAATGTACTAATATCCTTATCACAATGCTACATTGCAACAATCTACAGGGTAGATTTAGATGGTTTATATCAAATGTAAGATTGCTAAACAACAGTTGCCATAGAATTAAATCTAAAATGACAGATCGGTGGCAGATTGGATTAAAACATCACACATATGTTGGATAAAACAGTGTACGTTGTATGATAAGCATGTTTATGTTTATTAGAAACTCAATTAATAAAAGAAAACAATTCCTTGCTAGTCTTCCTGGATCATGGAGTCCTGTTCATTAAAATTACATCATGATAACATAACAATGCCACCATCATCACTTAATAACTACAATATATACAACACTACAATATAACAAATACACAATGTTTACTAAATGACTACAATATATACAGCACTACAATATAACAACTACACAATGTTTACTTAATACCTACAATGTATACAACACTACAATATAACAACTACACAATGTTTACTAAATTACTACAATACATACAACACTACAATATAACAACTACACAATGTTTACTAAATGACTACAATGTATATACAAGGACATTATACACATTATATACATCTGTGTATAATGTCCTTGGTACTAGTATATACAAGATCCAATTCGCGACCCACGGGTTTATTGCTTAAATGATATTCAGCGCTGATCTAGTTACTTTGTAAGAATATTGGGGGGATTAATTTGATATCGTTTGAAGCTAGCGACCCCCGACAGGCTCCGTGGGTCGTCAATCGGATCTTCTAAGGTCGGGATCTTCTCTGGTATACTGTCCCTTTATTTCGACCAATGTCTACTGGTCCTTACATGCTGATGTTGGCAAACAACTGGCCTTCCCGGCAGATATCATCGACACGAACCTAAGACCAGACTTGATCCTGTTTTCTAGGAAAACGACCCAGGTAGTGCTGCTAGAATTGACTGTTCCCCGGGAGGACAGGATGGAAGAAGCGAACGAGCGGAAACGAATGAAGTATCAGGAACTGGTGAGCAGATGTAGAGAGAAAGGTTGGAAGACCTGGTACTTCCCAGTGGAAGTAGGATGCAGGGGTTTCATAGGACAGACCTTGTGGAAGGCACTGGGACAGTTAGGAGTAACAGGAAAGAAGAGGAGAGAAGTAACTAAGAGAGTCACCAAGACTACCGTCGATGCCTCACTCTGGGTATGGACACTGAGGACTACCACCCAATAACCACTCGCCGGGCAGCGAGTGGCCGTCGCTGTCGCCCCGCTGGCTAGAGACGTACTGCAACAAGGGGCGAAACGTCAAGGAAAGCCAGTTTGCAGCTGATGACGGCGAGTGGAGAGCAGAGTCCGACCCTCTGTATGATGTAAGCTACATATCCGCGGTGCCTGGTAGATGCTATAGTCACGCACCTAGCGGCCATGACGAGGAAAGACAGCCCAAAGCCCCATCCACTGCAGTAGGTCACATGACAAGACAATACGTTACGTGCCTAGAGTTGCCAAGACAACTTCTCCGTCTTCCGAGTCACGTCTTCCGAGTTCGAGCTCAGACAACGCGCGCGCAAGCTGTGTCCACAACGACAGCGGTCATTCAAAATGGCTGAAAACGCGAATGAAGCTCTGCTGCATGCTGCTAAAATCGGCAGCATTCAAGGCGTGAAAACAGCTCTGAAAGCAGGTAAGATAGTCTCTACAAGGCGCACAAGATTGCAAAATTGTACTCCTCTGACATACTCTTTAGTCTATTTCTACTATCAACGTTAAGATTTTACGCAAAATGTAAATCCATGTACAGCATAGAGCGATATCTTGATGTACAACATAGAGCGATATCTAGATTTCGAAAATACTATTTCTTCGGGGGCAATGGGAGTTAATTGCCTCCGAAGAAATCTGACTGGAGATTATATCCGGAACTTTGAAGCCTGATAGAGGATCACCATAGGATCTGCTTGGAGATTGCAATAAGTACACGTTGCGTAGGCCCGGGACCCACTCACACCGGGAAGGACCCGCAACTCTTTTCGAGCACGGTGTTTCGAGAACTGTGGTTGACCCTCGAGGTGTGGCTCTCCAAACACTACTCTCCATCAGACTCATCGACCTACAAAAGAAGGTATCTGACCAGGGGAGATGGTCGGCCAGAGAAGGACTCTGAAGCGCAATTGGCCTGCATGGATCTTTGTAGGTCGATTTCTACTATTTACTTATGCTGGGGTCACATTTCCAAGCCGGGGCCCGGCAGGGCTGTTTCGATTAATGAAAAATCAACAATTTTCATAAAGAATATACGTAAATAGTTCCATTGTTGATATTTTTCAACCTTTCTGTGCTTTGTTACGTTTTATACAATTTTTTTCGTTCCAAATGACTACCCGGCCGGGCCCCGGTTTGGAAATGTGACCTAAGCATTAATAGGGCTACAAAGGAGTCTGGTGGAGACTACTCAAACACGGGGCCTCCAGCCTTACGTCCCATCCGAGAGGACGTCCGCGGCCGGTAATGCTTAGGTCACATTTCCAAAGCGGGGCCCGGCCAGGCTGTATGTATGAACGACAAATTACCAATATATATCAAGAATATACAGAAATAGTGTCCATGATTATTGTCAAACACTTTTTCTGTGTTTTGTTGTCTTGCATATCGTAGTTTTCGTTCCCAAACGCTGCCCGGCTGGGCCCCGTGTTTGAATTGTGACCTCAGCATAAGTTGACTGTCTTGTGTGCGACTTAAACTAACTGTAATGACCAAACGCAGGTGCGGACATTGACTACGCCGGCGCCCGGGACGGCCATGAGATCACCGACGCAACAGCTCTGTACATCGCTTCCTTCGTGGGACATGCCGGTGTAGTGAGACTGCTGATTCGCAAGGGGGCGTCTTTAACGAAGAGATCCATTGGAAAATCTAATTCTCCCCTTCTTATAGCAGCGGCCAAAGGTAGGTCGTCGATGAAAAAAAAAACAACAACAGTTCAAAGACTATCATGAAAGTTTATCTGTGCTGGTAGTTACATGTTTAAAGTTAAAACTTCTGGTCCAACACAAAAAATTCTCTCACATAGAGCTTTCGACCAGTCACTCTGGTCTTCCTCAGTAGACTGACCCAGTGAGGCTTGTCATGTGGCTTCTTTGAAGTGTGACGTCAACACTGGGTCAAAGGTGTCTGGTAGACGATGTCGGCCCCCAACCCACTAAACAAGACTTTTTTCTTGAGAGGGGTGAAGGAAGCCATATACATCAGGCCAGGGCCCATCACCCTACATTGAACCGCGAAGGGGGCCGACATCGCGGGTATGCATCTTTAGTCTCCACTTTTCTATACGTTTGTCATGTGTCTGTTATGTCTTGACCTGTACCTAGCCTAGCCTGGTATCCAGTCTGATCGTGGTCGGGGCCGAAAGAGCTCTGTCCCGCCCGCCTCACATAGGTTTCCCCGTGTATTTCACGAGAGATTGATTAGCCCTCCACGAACAGTCTATCGTGTTGGGGGAAACCAAATCCCCAAGCATACTGTCTCTTATTAGCGTAACTCTCCTACCGGGACGGTCTGTTACACTGGGCGGGGGAAGCTATTAGAGCCCCCGAAGACACAACCTGCCTGAACACCCCAATACCCACAATCACGTACGACTGGATACCAGGCTATACCTAGCCCGTCGTGGCATGAATGTACAATAAAGGTATTTCATTTCATTTCATTTTATAAAACGCTACTTGATTCATTTTTCACATCACAAATCCAACCCAGGGTACACAGAAGTGGTGGAGTTGCTGGTGCGTCACGGCGCAACATTAGACACAAGGGATGCCTACCAGAGGACGCCGCTCATGGTGGCCTGTTCTTACAAACAGGTCGACGTAGCTCGGCGACTGATCGAGTTCGGAGCAAGAGCTGATTTGACTGACGCCAAAGGCTTGACGGCCCAACAGTAAGTGAGAATGAACGACTGTCTCTTCCAGATACGAAAGTATAGTTTGCTTTAGGCCACAGCAAGTAAATTTTGTGGATGGCGTCCTCCACAGACTCCAAATTTAATGCGAGCGTGCGAAAAAAAAACAAGGCGGGTCGAGAAAAACAAGGTCCCTACATTTTGAAATTTTAACTCAATTATTGTACAAATGGTTTTGATTCAGTGATAACATCACATATACACAGCCAGCAGCACATATCACCGCATCAAAGTAAGAAACGAAACATTAAATCAGAGCCTTTCTTGCCTACTTCTCGCCACACAAAATTGAAAACGTGCACATGGCGGATTTTTTTAAGAATCTTTGACTTGTTGTGCAGACTTCTGCTGTAATGTTTTCCTCAAACCAATTCTAATGCTATTACATTTGTACCCAATTAGGCACTGCGAACGGGACGTAGAACTGACGAAGCTGGTACAAGAGGCACTGCAGACCAGGCTGCTGAGATGCTGCAACACTACATGTGGCAAACCGGGATACAGGTAGGTTTCGTTACCCCCTTTTCTGGGTTGTGGATATTGTTTTCGATGTGTCTGTCTGTGTTTGTGTCTGTCTGTGTCCTCAGATAAAAGGGGGTACGCTCACTCGCGGTGGTTTTATTCGGTGGTTATAGCTACGACAATGCTTTATCACAGTATATACACCTCGGAGCGGGTCATTGAGTAACTCTTAATTATGAAGCAAGTGGCAGGACAGAGAGGCTGTTCACCATACATGTACATAGAAATGTGTTTAATATAAGTAAGAATAAACAGAGCAGCATTTGTTAGGCTAGACAATGTGGAGGTAAACATTATGCAGTTGCAAATAGCACCTTGTCCAATTCCTCCGTATTTGTAGTCTACGATTTTAATTTAAAAAAGGTTTTCAACAGTTGAAAACCTTTTTCTATTCAAACATTTCATGACCAAACATGGCGACGGCATACTCAAGTACAAATACAGAACATGACAATACTCATTTTCACTTGAGTTAAGTGAGGAAAGTCGTGTAAAGTGCCTTTCCCAAGGGCACAAGATCGGCAGCATGTCAGGACTCGAACCCGGGACCTCTTGGTTCGACCCCACAACTTTCCGGAATTCTTTTCAGTTTAACTGTTACGGTCTTTTCTCTCCAGGTCCACCCTGAAGCTGTGTGCCCGGTGCAAGCTGACCCGGTACTGCAGCCGAGACTGTCAGAAACAACACTGGTCTGTCGGACACAAGAAGAGCTGCGGACATGACACGTTCTCTGACGATGGCTCAAACCCCTACCTAAAATTTTCCAAGTTGAAGACTGTCAAACAAAAATATGTGCAAATATAGCTTAGGACAAGTGTATCAAACTGTGCTCTACCGACTTCACAACTTTTTGCATGTTCAACTTTGGTTGAAATGCCCAAACATCACTTCAGGGTACTCTCCAAGCAGAGGTTGTAGGGAAATGATCGTTAGCTTTTTATATATGGCCGTTTTTTGTCGCTAATCCCACCAACAAAAATATTGTTTTGGGCGGCTGAGTAGTGGACTTGTCTGTACCCAGGATCTTGCTCCTAGCTTGTTAAACTCATTGGTCTGTAAATTGCTTTGGTTGGTGATTTTGGCCGATGTTCATTGAAAGCTGATGAAGAACTGTAATAACGACCAATTGAAACAATAAACACAACACGTTCAAGAACAAAGTAAACCGTCTTTTTATGTTTCCTTCTATCATGCCGTCGAAATTCCAGCAAACTGTGTATATGGCAGACCCAATTACTAAGTACTCTCTAAGCAGAGGTTTGGGTTTTGTGTTATTTTTGGCGTGTTTTAGACTTCTTTTTATTGGGGTTTATTTTTTGTGCTGGAATTTTCAGGTAAAAAATAAAAATAAAAAGTCTAAAAACACCCCAAAAATAGCCCAAAACCCAAACCTCTGCTCAGAGAGCTAGAGTAAGACCCAATCACTATTGGATCTTAACCTTCTCAGATGTCACACGAAAGTATTGTATCAAAGGTAAAGGCTACAATAAGTTCCACCAGGCTTGTCTGTGGGGAAACCGATCGGGAAATGTAGCCTCTACCAGGAAGTGGCTGGAAGAGCAGAAACTGGCTAAATAGATAACAAATTTCTACTCTAGCCAGCCTTTACAGGGCTTCGGGAAGCGGTCGGAAAAAGAAGAAAATTGCCAAATAGAGAGAGATGACATGCCAGGGGAGTTGGTCCACTAGAGAGTAAAGTACTTGTCAAGCGGACCAACTCCCCCGGCATGTCATCTCTCTATTTGGTCAATTTCTACTCTTTCTAGCCGCCTCCCGAAGCCTGGTAGAGGCTACGCGATCTGACCCCCGTGGGAAGGCCTGGTGGAGGCTAAGCCCCGCCCACTGCAATAGCTGACGTAGCCAGATGTAGGTCACGTGGCCAGTTCTCCCCACGCCTCTTCACACTTCTGACAGTCTTCAGTTCAAACTCCGGCAGCGACACACAAGCTGTGCCCACAACAACAACAGCGGTCCTGAGTGACGACATGGCGGAAAACGCGAACGAAGCTCTGCTGTACGCTGCTCAGAACAGCTGTCTACAAGGCGTTAAAGATGCTCTGAAAGCAGGTAAGCTAGCCTACACAAGGCACCCAAGATTGCAAAATTGTACTCCTCTGACACACTCTTTAGTGTATTTCTACTATCAAAGTTAAGATTTTTAATACGCAAAATGTAAATCCATGTACAACATCTCCAAGACGTAAGGGCAGCTCTGAAAGCCCGTAAAAGCACGTATTCGTTTTAATAGCCTCTACAAGCAAGGACGTTCAACAGAGAAAGACATCAAATGTTGCAGGTTATGTACCTTCCGGTAATCTCGTAGCAGATTTCTTCCGGGGCAAGGGGAGTTTAGCGAGAGGTGCTAACTAACAGTCTACCCTTGCTAGCCTCTACCAGGCTTCGGGGGCAGTTTGACGCACCTGACAAACCGTTCTCTAAAGCGCAGACCAATTCCCCTGGCATGTTATCTCTCTATTTGGCCGATTTCTACTCTTTCCGACCGCCTCCCGAAGAGGCTATACCCTTGGCCTGATTACGCGTAATTACGTTATAAGGACGTTACATTAACAAGCTCCTTGATTTTAGTGTTATAATTTCCACAAGTGTTGTTTGAGTTTGAACTTGTTTGAAAAAATGGCTTCATCGTAAACCAGAAGATCATTATTGAAATGAAAGTAGGTTTAAACCTCCTTGTTGAAATGTAGATCAACAGATTAAATCAACAGATTAGGACTCGCGCACAAGTGTGAAGTGCAGCGCACTAGCGACACCTTTTGATGTTTCACCGATTGTGTACTACTAGGTAATATTTGCATACAAGCTCGAACAAGGGAATTCTAGCACGACTGTTGTTGGTCTTTTGTTCACATCACAATACTATTAAAGTAACTATGTTCCCAGCAGTCTCATTCACAAATGCTATTAGGATAGCGTAAAAGCCTTGTGTATCTCTGTATATTGTGTAGGACACAGTCCGACACACAATATACAGATATATAACCTAGCCTCCTTTTCAGGCGTTCCAGGATCGGTCCTTTTTTTCGTTCTTTTTTTTGTGGGGGGGGGGGGGGAGGGGAGGGGTATTTTCTGATCAAACGCAGATCGCACGCAATAGAAGCTCCGAACCCTACATATATCTCCGTGGAACGACCGATCCGGGAACGCCTGAAAAGGAGGCTATATAACTGCCCCTTAGGCGTAACACACCAGCTTCGCAGGCACGCGACGCGGCGACTTGTTATACACTCAATCTCAGTGCCCATCCCTAGTAGTAATTCAGGTTTACTAACGCAGACTGTAACCACCAAACCCAGGTGCCGACGTTGACTACGACCAGTTGGGACGCGGACGTGTGATTGAACAAACGTCTCTCTTCCTGGCTTCCGTCTACGGGGATGTGGACATCGTGAAGCTGCTGATCCGCAAGGGGGCGTTCGTGTCGAAGAGAGCCTCAGGAACATCATCCGCGCCCCTTCATGCAGCAGCGAGCCAAGGTAGGTCGTAGATTTATGAAAATAATGATACCCGAGTCGAAGCTAAAACTAAACATTCACTCTACGGACCTACAGACCCTCAGTGTTGGTGTGCTTCAGCGTTTTAAGACAGCGTACGCTCTTAAAATGCTGGTGAATCTGTCTAGGTGGTGTAGCAACAGCTTGTTATGTGCTTGCTTATGTATCGACACCTTCGACGCCAGGTGGCGCAAACTGTCCTATTCATTTGTCAAGCGCCTTGTATACACAGCATTGTATACACGCTTTGTCATTTGGACGTGTTTACATGGAGCCTCTACTGGCCGCATTTTTAAAACATCTGTATGTGATTTGTGTATCTGTACTTGTTTTTGTATTGACACTGTTTTTATATTGGCCTCTGGCCTGAAGCAAATAATAAATAAATAAACTAAAGCTAAACTCAACATGTGACGTCTTTGAGCTGGGCGAGCAAAAGACCACGGATTATCTGGGGGAAAACGGGAAGTTAACGATAAGCGGATAACGGTTGACGTTCATCATGGTTTTCATGATGCGTAATATTTAGTATTACGTCTTCCATGGGTTACAAAAGATAAGTCAAACCCTTCAGACATACTAGTAGCTCCAGACGACTACCTTTTATCATGATTAGCCACTGCTGTATTTAATTTGTTAACCGTTTCATTGTTTTTATCCTTTTTACCTCGGGGAGGAACTTGCAATAAACTCAATTATTTTCTTTCTCACCTCTTGGAATGTAACGTTGCTTATGACTTTTCTCACGTCGCAACTTCACCCCAGGGCACACAGAAGTGGTGGAGTTGCTGGTGCGACACGGCGCAACGTTAGACATCCGGGACGCCTCCCAGATGACCCCACTCATGGTTGCTATCCAATACAAACAAGTGGGCACCGCTCGGCAACTGATTGAGCTTGGGGCGAGAGTTGATCTGACCGCCAATCAGGGCGCGACCGCCAAGGGGTAAGTTTCGACTGATACGAAAGTATTGTTTTGGGTGGCTGAGCTCTGGGCAGCCCGTTGGTGGGGGGGGGGTGAGATTGACAGGCAGAATGACAGGTCAAAAGGCCATGGGGTAAACTTGAGTCAAGAGTAGGTTGACAGCACGTGGGTGGGGTGAAGATATTATTAGGCAGATTGGGTAATCTCCAAGCAGATCCTAGGGTGGCATAAGAGTACCAAATTGGCCAGGCAGTATCCATTGTCCAGAGAGGGTCCAATGCGCCAATGGACACTGCCTGGCCAATTTGATACTGTATTGTGCCACCCTAGGATATGCTTGGAGATTAGGTCAAAAGGTCAAGCACGGGAAATGGGGTGAGCATATAAAGGTCATGAAAAACCAAAATACATGTCTAAAGTCTCCCATTTCCTGCTCACATTTCCACTAGGCTCTGCGAGTTTTACCTATTTGGAGAAAAGTACCACAGCGCACGTAAAGAGCTGACGGAGCTGATACAAGAGGCGATTGAGACCAAGCTGCTGAGATGCTGCAACCCTACATGTGGCAAACCGGGCTACAGGTGGGTTGTGTTACATCCAGGTGCTGTGATATTGTTTTCAATGCGTATGAGTGTGAGTGTGTGTGTCAGTGTGTGTGTGTGTGTGTGTATGTGTGTGTGTCTGTGCGTATGTGTGTGTGTGTATGTCAGTGTGTGTGTGCGTGTATGTGTGTGTGTGTGTGCGCGTGTATGTGTGTGTGTGTGTGTGTCAGTGTGTGTGTGTGTGTGTGTGTGTCTGTGTGTGCGTGTACGTGTGTGCGTGTACGTGCGTGTCTGTCTGTCTGTGCGTGTATGTGTGTGATGACGGTAACTAGGGGCAAAACCATTTGGAGTCATTCAGCATAAACTTTTTTCTGCCTACTTACCACAGTATTGAATACCTTGTGTTCCCTCCTCTCCAGGTCCACCCTGAAGCTGTGTGGCCAGTGCAAGCTGACCCGGTACTGCAGCCGAGACTGTCAGAAACAACACTGGCTGAGCGGGCACAAGAGGAGCTGCGGACATGACGCGTACACCGGCGCCGAACCAAACCCCCTCCTAGAATTGGCCAAGTTGATGACAAGGAACCCCAAACTTATATAGCTTAGGGCATGTACCACAAACGTAACCGTCTACAGACTCAACAACTTTTTGAATGTTGAACCTTGGTATGAAATGTCCTGGGTTATCACTCCGTGGTATCAAAGAATTGTTTTGGATGGATCGCATTTCCTTCTCTATCGTTAGGTTACTAGTAGTGATAATTTAATAGCCTGTCATGGAATATTGTCACGGTTATACGTTTTGTATTCTCGGACAACATATTTTAGTGAATAGACAGAGAGAGAGAGAGAGAGAGAAAGAGAGAATAGACCATCAATAAACACGTACAAGAGCAAAGTGAATCGTCTTTTCGTGTTTCCTCCGTATAATACCGTAGAAAGTCCAAGAAGACCGTTTACCTTCTCAAATTTATAAATGTAAAAAAATGTACGGGCTTTTTATGGGGAGACGGATCGGGAAATTTTAGCGTGTACTAGTCTTTGGAAGTGACAGGAAAGAGGCAGGAATCGGCCAAATATATAAATTATTATAACATGCCAATTTCTACTTTACCAGCCGCTTCCGAAGCCTGGTAGAGGCTAGGCGAAATTAACCTCCCCGCGGACTGACTCTCCCTTTTAACGATCCGTACTACCCCTAGCCTCTACCAGGCTTCGGGAGGGGGTAGAAAGAGTAGAAATTGGCCAAATAGAATCGGAAAACATGTCAGGGGAGTTGGTTCGCTAGAGAGTACTTAGTAAGTTAGTACAGCTTGCCCCACTCTTTGGCCTCTTTCCTACCGCCTCCCGAAACCTGGTAGAGGCTACTATTCCCTCCCCCGTGGGAAGGCCTGATGGAGGCTAAGCCCCGCCCACTGCAATCACTCACGTCGCCCGACACAGGTCACGTGACAAGACAAGTTCTACCACGCCTCTTCGCACTTCTGACAGTCTTCAGTGTGAACTCGGAGAGCGACACGCGCAAGCTGTGCCCACAACAACAACAGCGGTCCTGGCGACATGGAGAAAAAGGCGAACGAAGCTCTGCTGTACGCTGCCGAGAGCGGCTGTCTTCGTGGCGTCAAAGCCGCTCTGAAAGCAGGTAAGCACACATATGACATTTTCGCTAGCATCTGCATGGCAAACATGCATGGCACCCTACGTAGCTTGCCTAACTCCTCTCTCTCTGAGTGCTCCGCTGGCTAGCATACTCAACCAGGCGTCGGTAGAGGGTAGATGCTAACTATTCGGTTTGTTGTGAACTTGCCGTTTAGTGTTGTTCTTGTTTTGCTTCAAATTTTGCTCCAAATTTGTCATTTGCCGCCCTCCGGAACTGTTCATAATCCAAACCAGATGTCCCAAGCGATGCATCGCCGATCGCACACACCAGTACCCTGCACCAGTACAGTGCTCACTGCTCACTTGTGTGGTCTTCCCCAGAGTCCCCAGACTATAATTTACAACACGACGCGGGTTCAAAAAATTATGTAGGACAATTTATTCATTTACCACACCGTAGAGTTAATAATTTTGCTTTCGAAGGGGAAAATTGACCATCTCTTCTTTTTTGCCATCCATACTACTCTTCAAGCAGAGGTTTGGGTTTCGGGTTATTTTTGGCGTGTTTTTATACTTTTTTTATTATCGGGGTTTCTTTTTTGCACTGGAGTTTTTCTTTCAAAAAGAAACCCCGATAAAAAGAATTCTAAAAACACGCCAAATTGAAAAATAACCCAAAACCCAAACCTCTGCTTGGAGAGTAGATCCGTACCCCCGTAGGAAGGCCGAGTGGAGACTAGACTAGTGCAGGTCCATACGTGCATAAATATTTTATTTTCTCCTATTATTTGTAGTTACGCTATTCTACAAGTAACATTACATGTACTGTAGGCATGTTTCACTTTCACGATTGAGTTTGAAAAGAAAAGAGGGCTTTCAACCTGTGGACGATTATTGAAATGTAGATCAACAGATTAGGACTCGCGCACAAGTGTGAAGTACAGTGCGCTAGTGACACCTTTTGATGTTTCGCCGATTGTGCAGACGAGATTTGCATACGCGCTCGATCTGAAAAGGAAAGTCTAGCGCCACTGTTGTGGGTCTTTTGTTCTAGTTTATCACAACTAAAGGCGTTGACAGCTATTCCCAGCAATCCCCTTTACAAATCATAGAATAGTGTCCAGGGATTATGAATAAATAGTATCACTATGCTACTACATGTAGTAGGACGTCTGTATGTTTTCATTCTGGGGGCGGCTGGAAAGAGTGGAAATCGGCCAAAAATTTTGGCCGATTTGGACTAACTCCCCTGACATGTTATCTCTCTAATTATTAGAGAGATAACATGTCAGGGGAGTTAGTCCGCGGTGAGAGAACAGTTTGCCGCACCCGAAACTATTTGGCCGATTTTCAGTCTCTTTCCAGCCACCTCCGAGGCCTGGTAGAGGCTATGTTTTCATGAGTTTGCAAACTCGTGTCGGTATCGGGAGCAGTTTTGATTAATAGAAGTTATGATGTGCCAATCACTGAGCAAACAGGTTAAAATAAAAATCAACTTGCACTGAGCTAGTCGGTTGGAAACACGGGGTTACCTGATAAAAATAATGTAGGCATAGTTTTTGGGGGGTCGTCTGTATCATGTGTATGTATGTGTGTGTGTGTGTGTGTGTGTGTATGTGTTTGTGTATTTCGTCATACTTGTGATTATGGATTGTGATGATATTAAATTTAGTATGTTGTTTAGGTCTTAGGAAGACAAAGGTGGACCTCCTGGTGGCTGATCTTGGTACTGCAGCAGAACCTCCATTACATATATACCCAAAGCTCTCTGAAATCTCTCTCCCATGACAGTCGTGTATTCAGTTTCACTAAACTGTAACCCATCGTGTGCATGTGTGTGTGTGCGCACGCATGTGTGTGTGTGTGTATGTGTGCGCGCGTGTATGTGTGTGCGCACGCATGTGTGTGTGTGTGTGTGTGCCCGTGTGTGTGTGTGTGTGTGTGTGCCCGTGTGTGTGCGTGCCCGTGTGTGTCACTGTGTGTGTGCCCGTGTGCGTGCGTGTGTGTGTGCCCGTGTGTGTTTGCATCTCTCTCTCATGTCATGTGTATCCAGTTTTACTAAACTGTATCCACCAAACGCAGGTGCGGACATTGACTACACCCAGGACAACAATGTGGTCACCGGCACTGGAACAGCTCTATTCATCGCTTCTGTGGATGGGAATGTGGGCATGGTGAAACTGCTACTCAACAAGGGGGCGTCTCTTACGAAAAGGACATCGGTATCATCATCTGTTCCTCTCCATGGAGCAGCGATGCGAGGTAGGCCTAGCCTCTACAAGGCACCGCGGATCGCTGGAAAAATAGTAGAAATTGGCCGAAATAAAGGGATACTATACCAGAGAAGATCCAGGGACATAGAAGCTCCAATTTGCGACCCGTTTTCCAGCGCTCCGCGGTGCCTGGTAGAGGCTAAAAAGGAAAGCTTTTTAAAAAGATAAGCCTGGGTGCCATCCTCTGTAGTTTCCACCGTTTGCCTTCCTAATGTTGATGTTTATGGAAGTCCCTCACTCCCTTGTAGTCAGTGGAAATTATGGAGGATGGCACCCTGGCTATAAAAAGATGCCAGTTGAAGTTAAAAGTGAAATAGAGCTAAAAGCCGTGTTTTTCATCTTGCGTGATTAAATACTATTAACTTTATCACCTCTTTAGAAAGTAATCTTGCTTAATGTGTACTACACACACCTCGTGTCTTGTCCCGGCAGCTCGATGCTCCCACCGCACTAATCACGCTTTAAAGCTGCAGACCATCGCAAGTAAGAACAACTATTACAGGCTCTCGTTCTTCCCTCACACCATCAAGGAGTGGAATGAACTTGAGCCCAGTGTGGCGGAGGCGAAGTCCATCTCCCAGTTCAAAACAGAGCTGGGACGGGCTTCGCTGCATTGAGCTGCCTCCCTGTCCTTGTACATATGTAAATATGTGTTATACTAGCACCATTGACTTCACTTGTCCTGTCCTTGCACTTGTCTACGTCCATCCCTACCCTACCCTTTGTTTACACTTTGCACACAGTCACTAATGCGCAACTGCTAATAATCCTCTTCTTAGAGGGATCAGCAGTAACAAAGATGATGACATGTATTTTGCATCTCCAACCCAGGTCACACAAAAGTGGTGGAAGTGCTGGTCCGTCGCGGTGCCACAGTAGACATACAGGACGCCTTCCAGAAGACGCCGCTCATGATGGCCTGCGTCTTCCAACACGTCGACACTGTACAGCGACTGATCGAGCTCGGAGCAAGGGTCGACTTGACAGACAGATGTGGCATGACAGCTCGGAGGTAAGTCATTTGAAATACTCTCCAAGCAGATGTTTGGGTTTTGGCCTTTTTGTGTGTGTTTATAGGATTTTTAATCAGGCTTTTTTTTTTGCATTGGTAATATGGTATCTTTTTTTTACACACCAGCTTCTGTATAAGTATAGTTGGTATAACCGCCCTTCAGCATGACACACCAGCTTCTGTATCTGTATAGCTGGTATAACCGCCCTTCGGCGTAACACACCAGCTTCTGTATCTGTATAGCCGGTATAACCGCCCTTCGGCGTAACACACCAGCTTCTGTATCTGTATAGTCAGTATAACCGCCCTTCGGCGTAACACACCAGCTTCTGTATCTGTATAGTCGGTATAACCGCCCTTCGGCATAACACACCAGCTTCACTTATCTTCTATCTTCCCCTAGATACTGCGAGGTTGACATGATCAGAGAAGAGTGCGACTGCGCGCGGAGAGAGATGCTGCAACTGATACTGAGGGCGATGAATTCCAAGCTGCTGAGATGCTGCAACCCTACGTGTGGCAAACCGGGCCTCAGGTGGGTTTTGGTGCAAGTGTGTGTGTGTGTCTGTGTGTGTGTGTGTGTGTATGTATGTGTGTGTGTATGTGTGTGTGGTTTGTGTATGTAACATGTGTGTGTGTCACTGTGTGTATGTATGTTAATGTGTATGTATTTGAGTGTGTGTCACTGTGTGTGTGTGTATGTATATGTATGTGAGTATGTATGCGTGTGTGTGTAATTGTGTATGTGTTAAAGTGTGTGTGTGTAACTATCTAATGTGAGTGAGTGTGTGTTTGTAATGACTGTAATGGGCAAAACCATTTGGAATTTGGTGTCCTTACAATAGCATACAATTTTTTCTGGGTTCTACCATACCACAGTATTGAATAGCTTGACAATGTGTAACTGTTCCCTTCTCTCCAGGTCCAAATTGAAGCTGTGTGGCCAGTGCAAGATGACTCGGTACTGCAGCCGAGACTGTCAGAAACAACACTGGACTGTCGGACACAAGAAGAGCTGCGGACATGACGCGTACCGTGATGCTGGACCATCCCCCTTCGAAAAAATGTTCAAGAAGATGAAAAGGGAAACTTCAACTGCAATGTGTCCGGTTCCAGGAACACCCACATACACTGAGGAGAGACAACCCCCCTCCCAAAAAGTGTTCATTGTATTGCTTATGGTTCTTCTGTGGTTCAGTTACTCCTTGTTCGCAGACGATGACTCAGAACTGGGAGAAGAGGATTTTGACAGTTGTGTGGAAGTACTATATGGAGGAATTGAGGAATTAATGTAATATCCGACTAGATTACATCATACGATCCCCTCCATGGATCCACAGTTCCGATACATCCACAAAAGCCCAAAACACTTTTTTGTACACTTGTAAAAGAATGTAAAGGGTACCTACATAGGCAGTGAGATTTTAATAAAGCAACTTTTGCTTTGCAAAATTTTCATTTCTATACTGTTGGTACATCAATGATTTTATTGTGATGTTTTAACATTTTAGATTGTTTTGAAGCATGTTTCATATGATAGTTCTACTGTCCTGCATGACTGTTGAGTGTTTGTTCCTTTTTCTATCTACTGTTATGTCATTGATCGTTAAACTACCACAGAATATTGCCATGGTTATATTTTGATTTTATATTCTTAGACAATTGTGTTACATACCGATACTAGTCTGGCATCCAGGTACAACGTGATGGTCTTCTTGGAGAGCAATGTTCATTAAAAGCTAATGAAGCATTTAGCCTGTTCATATCTCAAGTGAATACCATGTACAATAAACACAACATATACCAAAATCAAGAGGAGTGTCGCTTTATAATATGTTTTCTCCGATGTGTGTGTAACAGCATGTTCAAGTTCGTTGTAGGTCGTGGTGCGATTTTGATGTCATAGAATTTTCCATGGTCTGGCCACGATGCAGTTCATTCACCCGCACATTCGACACTGTCCAAGTTCGGAATGGGAGTAATCTCCAAGCAGATCTTAATGTTGGCTTCGAAAACAGTATTAGATTGGCCAAGCAGTATCTATTTGCCAGACAGTTATACCATTTTGGCACCCAAGGACAATACCAGCCAGAATTGATACTGTCTTTATTGCCACCAAAAGATCTGCGTTGAGAGTAAAAATGTAGCCTCTGACAGTAGTGGTTGGTAAGAGTAGAAAAAGGCACCTTATCTAGTCAGTTAATGTTCCGAAGTCTGCAGTTCTCACAACACTCAACAGTCAAGTTAGTGGCAAGGTACTTTTATCACATGAAACAAGAATAATGGAGTACATCGTGTATAAAACTTAACAATGAGAACATTCTGTGACAGTCTAATCATCAACGATCTGGCGATAGAAAAAGGAAATGTGGTCGCTGAAAAACCTGCATTGTAAAAATCCAACTCCCTGCCTCAACAATTTGTTTACAGATCAGTTACAAAAAGACACACAAAGACATTCAAAACTGTGTGTGAAAAAACAACTTGACACAACATTAGTTTCTATATACAAAGATATCAGCTGTATCATGTCTCCCTGTTTTAAAGCCCCTCTCACACTTTCAGAACCTTGGGTGCATTTGAAGTTTTGGGAGCATTCTGAACAGATTTATGCCTCACCTACTGTCAAATCAAATTTGTGTTAAATTTGACTCAAATTTGAATGCCAACCATTTTCCTCCAACTGCTGGACACAAGCAAACCACCAGCTAAACCTCCCATTCACACTAGAATGTTTTAAACATTTTGAAAGCCAAAGAGTACCTAACCTTAAAGCCAAACAAAAAGCTTGACCTTGCTTCCATTGTTTAAAGTTGCATGAAGTTGCAAATGTTTAAAAACTTGTTATACTAGTACATGTTCTAACTTGTTTCTATCATGTTTTCTATCTGATCCTGATAATTTTTGGCAAGTTTGAGTAGAGTTCCCCCTGTCATCAGCAAGACCGTTTTTTCAAAGTTGGATGGTTCGTCGCCAGTGTACGCGTCGTGTCCACAGCTCCTCTTGTGTCCGACAGTCCAGTGTTGTTTCTGACAGTCTCGGCTGCAGTACCGGGTCAGCTTGCACTGGGCACACAGCTTCAGGGTGGACCTGGAGAGGAGCAAAAAGTTCTGTATCTGTATAGCCAGTATAACTGCCCTTCGTCGTAACACACCAGCTTCTGTATCTGTATAGCCGGTATAACTGCCCTTCGGCGTAACACACCAGCTTCTGTATCTGTATAGCCGGTATAACTGCCCTTCGGCGTAACACACCAGCTTCTGTATCTGTATAGCCATATAACCGCCCTTTGGCGTAACACACCAGCTTCTTTATCGGTATAGCCGGTATAACCGCCCTTCGGCGTAACACACCAGCTTCTGTATCTGTATAGCCAGTATAACCGCCCTTCGGCGTAACACACCAGCTTCTGTATCGGTATAGCCAGTATAACCGCCCTTTGGCGTAACACACCAGCTTCTGTATCTGTATAGCCGGTATAACCGCCCTTCGGCGTAACACACCAGCTTCTGTATCTGTATAGCCAGTATAACCGCCCTTTGGCGTAACACGCCAGCTTCTGTATCTGTATAGCCAGTATAACCGCCCTTTGGCGTAACACACCAGCTTCTGTATCTGTATAGCCAGTATAACTGCCCTTCAGCGTAACACACCAGCTTCTGTATAGCTTGTATAACCGCTCTTTGGCATAACACACCAGCTTCTGTATCTGTATAGCCGGCATAAGCGCCCTTCGGCGTAACACACCAGCTTCTGTATCTGTATAGCTGGTATAACCGCCCTTTGGTGTAACACACCAGCTAACAGAAAATAGAGTATGTAGAATTTTGAGGGTATGAAGTTTTTCAGCCGCCTTTTGTAAGCTAAAACAATACTGATAAAATCAGTAGCAGCGACACCTGTGCTGCAGTGCAATGTGAACCAGTCAGAATTGCCCCGAGGAAGGTGACAGACGGTCACCGAAACGTCTGTATCGGTATAGCCGCCCTTCAGCTTCACAGGCACGTGGCGCGGCGGCAGCTAGCTATATCACACCGAATGGCTTGTTACACTCAATCTTTGCACATTTGATTGCAGGAGTTGTTTAAAGCTTTCTGTGCTTGGTGGCAACGAGTTCCAGTCTAAGATTGTGGCGTCGTGTGGTGTAGTGGTACATCACTGGACTATGAAACGGGGAGACCCGGGTTCGATTCCGGGTCGTACCCGAACAAGTCCGAACATGCGCCCCGACGTTGTACCCTTGGGAAAGGTACTTTCACGGCACGAAAAACGGTATTTACGGATGCTTAAACTATGCTTAAAGTCAACGTATATTCCGTCTTTACGCATCTATTCACGTTTTATACGAGTACGTAAAGATCGACGTTACGTGGTATTTCCGTAGGTGCGGATGGATCCTTATTTTCCGGTTTTCACGTAGCCTTTAAGCACTTAAACATGTCTTAAATAATGATGAAAATATCTTCTAAATTGTAAGTAAAGGTAGACGTATTTTCATTCTTTAAGCATTTATTACGGCTCATATAAGTGTGTGTAAAGATGACGGATAGGTGCGGATGGATCCGTATTTTCCGGCTTTCACGTAGCCTTTCAGCTGCTTAAAGTTGTCATAAATACTTTTTAAAATGCTCTTATAACGTATTTAAAGTTCACGGTTATTTCTAATTGAAGCACTTTACGGCCAATATACGTGTGTGTAAAGGTAATCATTTGTTGCGTATATGGTGCACGGATTTTCAGTTGACTTTCAGCAGCTTAAACTGCGTCTTTATTACCCATAAAGTGTGCGTAACGTTGGCGTATTCTGCTGCATTTACTTGCCGTTTATTCTGCGTATGTCAGAGGTATTTGTGGCATTTTGGTGTCCAGTCCTGTCGTGGTTTGGGTGGGCTATCTTCGGGCCTGCCGTCCTGTTGAAGTTAGGCTCCCTGGATAGAGTTTAGCGGCACGATATCGATGCGAGACATACTGGGGAGCCTGGCTTATTCCGGCGGCGAAGAGGTCCTGGATCCCCAAAGAAAGCCGCTCCATGCCCGGTAGACTGGAAACCAGGCTAGTGACCAAGTCGTATAGTCTTTGTTCTCGTTGATGCAGCCGGCTGAGCTCGAGCGATAAGTCACTGTGTCCGTGCAAAGTTCCTTCAAGATTCTGCGCTGTATCCAAGTCTAGAATTCCAAATCCAACGTCGTTAGGCAAAGGTAGAGTTTACTTTGAAAGAGCACTCTTGTCCATTTGGCCACCGCAGGCTTGGAGAAGTAATCCGCTCAGTTTCGCGAATACAGATACCGATATGACTCCCGGTCTTGGTCGCCGACACAGATACTAGTATACGGTCGTGATGTTGTCTCATTCCGTGCCGTGCCGTGCCGTGTTCCATATCTCCACCCCAATCCGTTTTGTAGACTTGTACAGAACGAGGACCATGTGTCCTAGTTTTGTGTCCGTTCCGTCGGGGTTCAATGTCATTAAAACCAACTGAATCTCGTCCATAACCTGCAGTCCTGATGGAATTGGTCCAATCTTCCATCCCGTACTTGTCTTCAAAAAGGCGCCCTGTAAAATGCTAGCCCTGGTGCTTGCGTCCTGCATATCCAGTAGATTTCAAAATCCCACCGTTGTTTGTCATTGGATAATACCCTGTCACATGACACACCATCTGGCAGATATCGGCTCCCCCATATGGCGATTATCTTGCATTTGAATCCCTGTGTTGGTTTTTCACAGCTTGGCACTGAATAAATTTACATTTTGAAAAACACCATGCCAACTGATTTGTCCATCCTGAAACAACGGTCTCGTACTTTTACACCCGAATTGTCCAACTAAAAATTCCAGGACGGAGTACGTAACATCATAAACATGTTACGGACGGACCCTATTTTCCAGTTTGAATACATAGACGAAATAGAATAACGCAAAATTATACAACTTTTGGGGACATATGAGCTGAAGGGAAGAGATCACCTCCCGTTTACCTAAATTTCGCATGGGTAAAGATTAAACACATCGTATATTTGCTGAATAAACGCAACGTTTCATAGAGGTTTTGGGAACATATACGCCACTGTCATTTGAAATACGCGTACAGAAAAATTAAACACGCCGTATGTTTGTTGAATAAACGTTACATTTCCTTTAGCTTTCGGGAACATATAAGCTAACGTCACTTTAAAATACGCGTAAGGTAAGATTAAACACGTCGTATGTTTTTGACTAACCACTACGTTTCATATAGCTTTGGGGAATATATAAGCCAACGTCACTCAAAATGCGCGTATGGAAAAACTAAACACGCATGTCGTATGTTTGTTGAATAAACGCTACATTTCCTTTAGCATTCGGGAACATATAAGCTAACGTCACTTAAAAAAACTCGTAAGGTAAGATTAAACACGTCGTATGTTTGTTGAATAA